GCTCTTCTTTATTTTTCTTATGTAAGTTGGTTGGATGTCAGTTTATTAACTTTAGATTTTAACTAATTTTATGATTCAAAATGTGTTATGAAACAATAATGAAGGATAATTTCAGGAAAACATTTTAATCTGGAAAACTTGAAAGATTTAAATTGAATATTCAGTGAAATCCTCAACTTTCTCTGGACTTTAAGCAAAATATGGCTAAGAATGTAAAAAATAAATTTTAAAGGAAATTCACCCCTCAAGAAAGGCTCAGGTGAAAAATATGACTAAAGATTCAAATGTAAGTAGATAGTCTTATGTACCCGAAATGCCATTTTTGTCAGTAGGTTTGTACAGGAACTGAGGTTAAAATATTCCATGAATATTTTAAGTACTCTGCTTACAGTTAAGTTAGAATGTTGTCCTGTAGTAACAGTTTTTAAACAACTGTTTTAGGAGCAACATCTGCTCTCGAATCATATTACGAAAGTAACAGGATCAGAGAAGCTTTCTCGGCATCTGTTTAGATTTCTCCAGTAGACAGTTATTTGCTGTTTTAGCATAACTTGTTTCATTCAGAGTCGGCAAAAGGAATGTTTCCCTAGTAGAGTACAGGCACAACTTCACAAGGCTGTGGTGTTCATTTTACTCTTCTTCAGTGTGGTGTGGCACATACTTGGGACCTCAGTGGCCTCTGTAAATACTTTCCCTAGCCCCATCAAGAAATTAGAGTTTTGTGCTGGGGATTTAGCTCAGGGTACCACCGCCTGACTCGCAAGCACAAGGACCTGAGTCGGATCCCCGGTAGCACACACACAAAAATAGAAATTAGAATTTTGCCGCCTGCCTTGCAAGCACAGAGTCCCAAGTTCGATCCCGCTTGCATAATTTGATGGCATGAGAAACAACCCCTTTTAATGGCTGTCATGACAGACTGAATGGCAGCAGAGTGATTTTCAAGCAGCATTTGGGAGCCCACAGAAAGTGTATCACTGGCCCTGAGTAGAAATAACCACAAGGGCAGTGTGCACTTTGCAAAATGCCGTTTGTGAGTCAACTAGATTTTGGAATGCATTTATTCATAGTGTTACAAATAGACTTAAGATGCTAGAGCAACCTACAAAACTGCTTTAGCTGAATCATAGTACTTTTTCACCTTCCTTGAACCTGTCTTCTCTCCTGACTTCTTTGGGAAACTGTGTTCGTGCGATAGCAGGAAACACCTGATTGAACACCCCCCCACCCCCCACCCCACCCCACCCCCTGCCTGGTGAGAGCAGCTTCTCAGTTGGGCAGTGAGAAGTGTGTGAACTTCCCTGAACCCAAATCTCATGTGTAACGTATTTCTCGAGGTCTTTCTCTGGGATGTTTCGAATTGTGGCATAAAGAGAGATTGGGTCTCCGCAGGGGTAGGAAATCCAGCTCACTGCTGTCTTCCATTTGGTTGTATGAGTCACTTGTGCTTTGAGTCAGGTACTTTTTATTACCAATATGAAGGAGAAATAGGACATTTTTATAGTTTTGTTTTGTGCAGCATCCAAGCAGGATGATGTGCTCTAGCCAAGCTCTTTGAAGGCTTATTTGCTTTTCTATTTCCGGCACCTAGCACAATGTCCAGCACACAAGAGATGCTCTTTGTTGAATGAGTGATTAGCTGACCTTCCTGAAGGGCCTTAAATTCTTCATGGTCTTTTTTGATGTTTTAATTTGATATGTACAGTTTTAAAAGTGAATCATGGACTTAATTTCTTGTATATGAGACAACGCATACTCTGAAACTATAAATGAGATGGCCTAATTGCCTGCCGTCAACCCATAATAAAACAGCTGTTTTTGGTGCAGTGGGAAAATGAGTAAGACTGCCTAATTGAGTTAAAATGCCAAAGAACAAATTGCAATTTTCCAAGTTAAAAAAGAAAAAAAGCCTTGAAGTCTTGGAATGCGGGGACCGTTACTTTTGGAAATAATAAGTCTTCCCTGTGACCCTAGTGTGCACCCTCTTGGCGTCTCGGCCTCGCTCCTGGGCTGCAGCGGGAGTGAGCACAGCATGGCTTGGGCACCTGCACCGCGGGGCTCAGGGAGGCCCGGCGAGGCCCAGCCTCGAGCCCACAGCTCCCGTGTGGTCGTAGTCAGGCTCCTTAAACTCTCTGCGGGTCCCGGGCTTTCTCACTGTAAAGTGGGGGTCACCCGTGGGATCACTGGGCGCATGGGAATGTTCAGGCTGTGCTCATCATCGTGTGAGTTGCATCTTTCTGCCTCTGTCTTTTCTTATTCGTGTTGACCTTTTTTCCAATTACACTTGAAAAGTTGCTGGCGGCTTTTTGTTAGTGCATGTTTGTTGTACATGATTACATTCATCTTCCTTCCCTCATCCCTCTATCGCTAGATCCCCTTCCCATTAGCAAAAGATCTATCACCTATCATCTGTCTTTTCTTTTGTTCTTTATTTATACTTTGGGTTTCTCACATAAAAGAAACCATGCAATATTTAAGCCTGTGTGTTTGATTTATTTCATTTAACATTACAGTCTCAAGGTGCATCCATTTTCCTACAAATGACTCAAGTTTTATCCTTCTTTATAGCAGAGTAGTACTCCATTGTGTTGATGGACACATAGACCACTTCTAGGATTTAGCTGCTATGAATTGTGCTGTTACAAACATGGACGTGGATGTGACACAGTAATATGATGTCTTTTAACTCTTCTGGGAAAATATCTAGAAGGGGAATAGTTGGGTCAAATGGGTTTTCTAGTTTCAGTTTTTTGAGGAATCACCACACTGATCTCCACAGTGGTGGTACTAGTTTCCATTCCCACCAACCATGTAGAAGGCTCCTTTTTCCCTGCAGCCTCATCAGCATTTGTTATTATTTGATTTCTTGTTTTTGGTACTGGGGATCAAACTTGGCACCTTGCACTTGCGAGACAGGCAGTGGAACCACTGAGCATGACAGCCATTCTTTCTGGGGTAAGACAGAATCTCAGTGATGTTTTCATTTGCCTTTGTCTGATGGCCAGCGATGCTGGACATTTCCATGTATTTCCTGTGTATACAGTGCTGTCTTTGTCCTTCCCAGAGGTGTCTCTTCCTTTCAGTTGCCCATTTTTTGATGGGATCTTTTATTTTGGGGGGGGTCTCATTTTTTTGTGCTCTGGATGTGTTCTTTATGTGTTCTAGGTACTAGTCTTCTGTTGTAGAAGTAGTGGCAGCATTTTTTTCCTATTCTGTAGATTGTCTCTTCACTCTGTTAGTCATTTGCTGTGTAGAAGATTTTTAATTTAACATAATCCTACTTGGGGGGTTTTCTGGTTTTGTTTTTTTTTTTTGTAATCCTGTTTGTTGATTCCTGAAGTTAGGGAGTTCTGTTTAGAAAGTCCCTTCCTTTGCCCGTGTCTTCAAGAGTTTTACCTATTTTATGGTCCAGTAGACTGCTTCTGCTTTAATATTTAATCAATCCATTTTGATTTTAGTTGAGTGCATGGTGAAAGATACTGTCTAGATTCAGTCTTCTTTGTATGGATAGCCCGTTTTCCCAGCACCATTGGCTAAAGAGGCTTTCTTTCTTCCAGGATGTTTTGGCTTCTTTATGAAAGATCAGATAGCTGAATGTTTCTTTAGTCTTTTCCATTGATCCCCATGACTGTTTTTGTGCCAGTATCATGCTGTTTTTCATCAGAGTAGCTTTGTAATGTAGTTTGAAATCCAACCAGGATTGTGATGCCTCCTGCTTTGCTCTTGTTGCTCAGGATTGCTTTTGCTATTCTGGGTCTCTTCTGGTTTGTGTAAACTTTTTAGGATTTTTTTTTGGTAGTTCTGTTTGGAATGCTGTTGATATTTTGTTTGTTTGTTTGTTTGTTTGGTGCTGGCGATTGAACTCTGGTCCTTGTGCTTGCTTGCGCAGCAGGCAGCGAAACCACTCAGCCAAATCCCCGGCCCTCCTGTTGATACTTTTTTTTTTTGGACCTTGCGCTTGCGAGGCAGACGCCGGAACCACTGAGCTAAATCCCCTGCCCCATTCTAGCTACTTTTTGAAGACTTAGTTTGGGATGACTCTTCAGTGTGCGTGTGTGTGTGTGTGTGTGTGTGTGTATTTTCTAATCTAACCCTTGTCCATGTTCTTGTAAAACTCTGTTGCAGAATTCACCGTGTATTATAATTGTGTTTGTCTATCTACTATACCAGATCACAGATTCTTTAAGGGGAATGAATATGTTTGTATTTTTCTTAGCTTCTACTACAAAGTTTGGGACATAGTATTTAACAGAGCATTTGTTAAATTACATTGACTTGTATATGGAGGTCTTCTATAAGTTGCTCAGTTTTAATCAAATAGGAGTGCTATTTTAGGACTTAATATATACCTACCAATGTGCTGGGCATATTAGGAAGTAATTATTTGGCATATAAGTGCTGTAGTTTAGACTATTACTATAAGCTAATTGAGCAGTAATTCTAAGTACTAGACTGCACAAATTTTTTATCTCTATAATTGATTTCAGCCACTTTTAAAATCAGTATATAAGTGAAAGTTCTGTTTGCTGCCACTCCACTATAAGCCATTAAGATCAGTCCCATTTTTTTTTTTTTTTTTTTTTTGGTTCCAGGGATCAAACTCGGGTTCTTGCGCAGCAGGCGGCGAAACCACTGAGCTAAATCCCCAGCCTAGTTCCATCTTTTAAATTGATTTTTCCCTCAGAATTTTAAAGTTGGTTGCTTAAATATAGAATTTTATTTCTGTTTTGTAACCGTTACACTTTAATGGTTGAATCTTGACGGCTGGCCTTGAAAATGTGCAGTGTTTTATTAGTGCATAGATTTGGAAATTCAATAGGCCAGATATTTCCTGATTGTTACTATGTGTAGCAAAACCCTAATGTAATACAATTTACCATTGTTTTCTTCCTTAACATCAGCATTGTACGGGGATTGGTTCTGTTGTGTTCAGGAAAGAAATCTCTGTAAAATATTTAAGCCCTATATTCATGTAAGTCCTTTTCATCTCTCCTAAATAGGTAAATCAACAAACTGGGAAGATGATGGTTGGGGAGCATGGGAAGATGCAGAACTCCCAGAACCTGTAAGTCTTTGTAAATAAATGTGTGCTCTCTGTTGACAATGGCATTTCCTTGTGCAATGTTGGTGACATATTTCAGTGCTAGGCTGACATTTTTAAATCTGACATTTTTATGCTGACTTTATAGTGCCTCACTAGATACTTTTTCTTAGGGATCTTAGTGACTGTATAGCTAAGGGGGTGTCTTAGTCCATGCTGTGGCAAAATATTTGAGACTAAATTCGTAGTGAGCGGAAAGGTAATTGGGTCATGGTTCTGGAGGCTGAGAAGTCCAAGAATGAGGGCTGCATTTGGCAAGGCCCTTCTGGCTGTGTCATTCCATGAGAAGTCAGACAGAGCGAACGAGCAAGCAAGCGAGCGAGCCCGCACTGGCCTCCCCCTTACAACAGATCCACTCCTGTGATGAAAACACACTCTTGCTCCCAGCATTAAGCCATTTCCACTTCTTCATGTCCTGGGAGCCTGTCCCTTGGCTGCTTCTCCGCACATGCTTTCATTGGTCGTTAAGTTTCTAACATGTGCTTTGGGGAGATGTTCGAGCCATACATAGAAGAGAGTTGTTTTAGGGTTCTTCATCCTTCTCATAAGTTATTTTAGACTGTCACTTATCCATTCAGTGAACATTTGGTATGCCCACTATATTCCAGGCATTTTTCTAGGTGCTGGGAACATAGCAATGAAGAAGGTAGACAGTCTTCGTATGAATTTTCATGTATTTTCACCCGTGAGTAATAGAAAATCTGATCTAAGGTGGCTTAAACAAGAAGCTTTAGCTCACATAGGTAGGAAGCCCCAGGTTGGTTGGCCAGGTGACTCCACTGTCATCGGGTTGTTCCTTCTCTCTGTCCCACATTTAGTTTCTCACAGACATAGTGTGGCAGCATATCTCTTATTCATGACCAGCGGGAGGAAAACGTGTGGCTTTTCCATGATTCTTTAGGACAAGGGAACAACTTTCTTAAAAGCCTCTAGCAAACCTTGGCTTTCATTATCTTAGCCCATATTGGGCCATGGGCACATTTCTGAATTGGCAAAGGGAGAGGGTTTTCATTGACTAATCCTGTCGTTCCTTGGAGTTGGAGGATCAGAGGGTCAGCTTCTCTCCAGCTTCACATTGATATCAGAACAAAAATCAGGATTTTCTTTTTCTTTTTCTTTTCTTTTTTTGAGGAAAGAACATACATACTTACATAGGTCTTACGGACTCTGATCCCAGGAGCTTACATTCCAGTGGGGAGAGAGAAATAAAAGGGAAAGTGAGAGGTAGCAGATGGTAGTAATAGTTATGCAAGGAATTTAAATGATTGTGTGAGAGCGGGTGATCGAGGGCTGACTGTAGGTTGGGTGGTGGGTGAAGGGTTTTCAGAGGAAGTGAGCTGAGATCTAGAAGACCACATAACGTCAACAAGGTAACCACTGGCAGAGAGTGTTTTAGGCTGGGACAGCAGCTCATATATGATATAATTCCGTAATGTTTTCATCACCCCATATTCATTAGCAGTCGCTCCCTGTTCTTCCTCATCCCTACCCTGACAATCACTCATCTCCTTTCTGTCTATGGATTTGCCTGTTCTGAATATTCACATAAGTAGAATTATGCATTTTAAAAAAAAAGACTGACTGGCTTCTGCTTATAATTTAGACTTTTTTGTGGATTTTCTTATATCTTTTGTTTATGGTCTTGGATTCTGTATTAGTCACTTTTCCATTGCTGAGACAAAAATAACTGACATACATACACAGCTTAAAGAAGGAGCAGTTTATCTTAGCTCACAGTTTCAGAGGTGTCAGTCCATGGTTGGCTGGCTGCAAGGCAGGAACATCAAAGTAGACAAAGATGGTGGAAGAAACTTCACAGCAGCCAGCAATTAGAGCAGGAAGAGCCAGAGAGAAAGAAAGGACCGGGGGCAAAAATATACTCTTCAGAGCCATGCCCACAGTGACCTGCTTCATCCAGTCAGGCCCCACCTCCTAATAAGCCCATTAAGCTAATGAATTTATTGGTGAACTAATCCATTTGATGAAGTTAGAACCCTTGTAAGAGTCCCCAAAGCCCTAACAGTTCCAGCATTGCTCAAAAGTCCAAGTCCAAAGTCTCTTCTGAGACTCAAGGCAAACTCTTAGCTGTGAGCCCCTATAAAGTAAATCCAAAAGCAAGTTTCATAATCATAAGATACAGTGGTATTCATAGCTATCCCAGTACTGTCAGAAATTTTATTCAAGTATGGTGAAGCTGCTGTTATTTCTACAACTTTTAGTGATTATGAACAACTCTAGAGGCTTAACCAGCTCCAGAGTCACTATAAGAATCAAAGTAAATGTTAACAGATGCACAGATACTCACAAGGGTAACCGACATAGCTGCTCGTAGGAAGGTGGAGATTGGAAGGGAAACTTCCCTTCTCTTTTGGTAGGAACACACAGCAAACTGAAACCTGCTTTCCCTGAGAGAATGACCGGGGTTTGTTCACATTAAAGATGACACCAGGAATGGAAGAAGTGGGGTGTCTTGAAGTCAGCTAGTAGCAGTGTCACAGAGTCATCACTGTGAATATGAAATGTTCTCCATCACATGCTGTGGAGTTGAGGTCATTTCGACCCCCAGAGGAGAATAAATGTTCCTTCCTTGTCGGTCTGGCCTAGAGCGGCTGCAGTGGCAGGTAGGAAATGCCAGGTGGAGGTGGCAAGGAGTCAGGAGGAGCAGCCGCCACCCACCCTCTGAGTGCAACTGGAGGCTGCCCTGCTGCTAGTGAGTTGGGTGGAAAACTGCAGGAGCTCCGGGATATATTTATTTCCTCAGTCTGTTAGCTCTTTGAGAGTCATTCCTCAAAGGCAGCAGAGTACAGGGTTTTTGTATCTAGAGAGACTTAGTCCCAGGGATTTGGACACAGCTTTCAAAGAAAGGAAACATCCCCTTCAGCGTTTCTGATTGCGAGGGGTCAGCTGTAATAGAGGCTTAGTGAAGAAAGTGGATTCTGGACCTGGCAGAGTGGAAGTCACTCTGGGTAGCAGTGGCAACAGCAGCAGTAAAAGGAGTGATTCGAGCCTTGAAAGATGATGAAGTGGGGACCATGCTGGAATGAAGAAAACAGCACACAGAGGATAGCAAGAAGGAAGAGCAGGGGACCAGTCAAACTAGCAAGCAGAGGAGGGCCATGGCCTGGGCCCCCAGAGCACCCTGGGGCTCTGGGCTCTTCCGCCCACTGCAAGAGTTGTGAGCACAACATGCAGCGTGTGAGGGCCGGGGATTTAGCTCAGTGGCTCCGCAGCCTGGAGGACTTACAGCCTGCATGCGCTGGGGGCTGGCTGCCACAGTGACTTCCGACTCTTCAAAGGTGAACTCAGTCCACGTGGCAGGGTGATGCAAAGAGAAGGGGTGACGAGGGCTCGCTCACCTGCTGAGGGCTTGGCCTCGCGTTGCTGGGGACCAATGTGTGGTTGGGGAGCAGCTCTGCGGGCCCTTGGATTCTGTTTCAGTAGGACACTGAAAATACGGGCTAGCACTGCTGGACCAAGAGCCAAGTCCCAGGTCTGGGACTCCGCCTCCGCAGGAGCCTAGCCCCTCCCAGGGCCGACGTGGGGCTTGGAGTTCATGCTGAAAGGCCAGGGGACAGATGGCCGCTGTGCTAGCACAAGTAGCTCCACAGTTAGACGCAGAGGCATGTGGCTGACAGGAGGCCAGTGTGTCGAGACAGGACAGACCAGGCTCCTCTCCAGGGCTCATTGCCACTTGCACAGTCCCTGTTGGTGTGGCTTCCTGCCACCTGCACTGCAGGGTGCTCTGGAAGGCCCCACGCCCACCCAAGCTTCCTTGGTGTTTGGTTTCAAAGGTGGGTGCTGGTTCACCGACCCCGCCTGGACCAGGGCTGTCCTCCTCTGCACTGTATGACATCTCGTGGAGGTACTTCTGCCGTGACTGAGGCTCCCCTGAGTCTGACAAGGACCTACTTCAGGCAGATCCACAGTCTGAATTCTTGCTTTGTATGTCAGCTGCCCCTGCCCTTTGCATTGAGCTGCATCCGTGTGACTGAGACGTGGTGAGACAAAAAGCCTCTGATGACAGTAACCCAGACTAGGTAATACCCCAAAATTATAAACAGAGGTAGACATTTGTTGTTTCTGCATCGTCTTGCCTGTTTTGCCCCAACCAGAGCAGATTTACCATATTATAAAGTAAATTTAAAACAGAAAAATACTGGAGGTGCAGGTGGGAGAAGTCATCTTATGTAAATCAAATTTCTTTCAATAAATCCTCTAAAAGAAAGAAGAAATCCCTGGGTACATGATGAGAGCAACGGTGAATATCAAAGGCAGACAAGGGACAGAAAAGTTCGTGTGGCCACGCGTTGCCTGCTAGCTGTGCCCAGCAGTTGGGGCTGCAGACCTCAAAAGTCTCGGCTCAGGATGCACAGCGGCCCTTCGGTGTCCCTACGCTGCCAGCCCCGGGTCTGCTCGGCCAACAAGGAGGCCCCGCCCGGTTGCCCTGCCCCGTGGAGCCCTGTGCGGTGTTTGGCCCCACCGTCGGCACCTCTGTAGAGAAGGCCCCTGAGTCAGCAGGACAGCTGCCCGTCCCAGAGGAGCGGGAAGGCTGTGAAGGCTGGCACAGGGCCACCGGTGCTGCTTCTGTCCCAGCAGTGGGTCAGGATTCAGGGAGTGGCGAGAAGCTCAAGCCCATTTCCAGCCTGCGAGACAAATGCCTCCTGGTGATCAATCAGTCGATCGATCAGTCAGTCAGCAGTGGAGTGGCTCGAGCACAGCCTATCTGTTGCAGGGCTGTACCACATGGTAGATGGAAGTGGCCCTGTGAAGTGAGTGTTGTTCCGCTGCTCTTTTCAAGGAGAGCCGTGAAGCAGCGCCCGCCTTTAGGTCCTGCATGACTGCCAAACACTGTAGAGAATCTGCCCACTTAGAGCTAGGCCATAGGCGCTGGAGGAGAAACAGAAACTTAGAGCAGGCTCGGCCTTGAGTACGGAAACGCTGGGCCTGTGGTTTAGGGCTCTCTGCCTCAATGCTCCTGACAGGCCACGCTGGACAGGGACTCTGTCGGGCGGGGCCTGGCACTGTAGCATCCCGAGAGCATCCCAGCCTCTGCCCACCAGGGACTCAGGTGTCTCCAGGCTCTGCCCAGGGTCCCTCAGGGAGCAGATGCCCCCAGCTGGAAACACTGGGTTAGCTAGGGAGAAACGTTTTACGTTAACAACAGCAGCAAATTAACTTACTAAGAAATTGTAGCACTAGGACAAGACCGTGTGATCAAAGACCCTGGAGTGCGTGTCAGCACCCGCGGTCTCCCCTCAGTGTCGCGGTCCCACGGCCGTCGGACAGGATTGTGCAGTCTCAAAGAAATGACGGCAGACTCGTTTCTCTGAATTTATATCCAAGAAGATGACGTCCATTTCCCGAGTTTTCCTCATACTTCATGCTCACGGAACAAAATTCTGTTTGCTTCTGGGATCTCTCAGAGGCCTTTTGTAGGGAAGGTGGCAAACCAAGCTTGATGACAGTGTGATGCTGCTTTGCAAGCCCAACTGAGAAGGCGGCGAAGAAGTGGTGCTGTCTTGTGTCAGTCTTGTACCATCACGATTGTGTCAGCCACAGTCTTGAGCTGTTACTGTTACTTAAGAGAAAGCACTACTAAGAATCGATGGCTGTTGTGATAATAGATTATCCACGTGTTTTTGTGAATGCGAGAAGAGAGATGTGGGATTGCAGGTCTTCACTCACATGTGCTGCTGCAGCCTGTGCCACCTATGGAGGAGAGTCATGTAGGCACAGTCTTCACCAACCCCAGGGCTTCTAGTCCAGCATGGGAGAAACAGTGACAGGTGGAATAGGCAACAGAGAGCAATAGCTTTTAATTGCAGTCAGTTGGAGAAAAGTTAAAAGAGTAGAATGTGGTTGCCAGAAGAACTGGAACTTCAGGTGGAAAGGCACAGAAGAGGTCCAGGTGTTTTTAAAGGAGTGCTTAAAAGGAACGCCTCAAGAATATGCTGCCAGAAAAACCCCAGAATATGCTGCCCCCATGTTTAGGGAGTTACCTCGAAGCTCTTAAGTCACTACAGAAAGGAAGTGGTCAGTAATGGAGCGGATCGTTTTAAGAAAAGGCTTTTCATAGATTTTGGGACTGGGGGAAACCCGGGGCACAGGCAGCCCGCTGCCAGCGCGGCTGCTGCCTTCTCTGAGGGGCAGGAGAAGAGTAGAAAAGCCGCCCTGACTACAAGTCAGGGCTCCGTGCTGCAGCTGGGAGCACAGCCTGTAACCTCCTTCCAAGGGCCGTTGTCCCGAGGTTTGGCCAGCTGGCCTCTAACGCCTCGCTCTTTGAAATGCGCTAACTTTGTCTCTTCTGTGTACACAGGCATCAGGTCTAGCCCCTGTCCGTGACATTGCTGTGATATAGGCAGAGATGTGGAAACAGTAGGCCTTAGTATATACTCAGGGTTTACTCTTTGAACATAATCGTAGAAGTATGATAAAAGAAAGAAACGCATTTGTGTAGATGACCGATTGGTTCTTAAAATTATTTTTGGTAGAATTTGCCTAAATTGATGTACTACTCCTTTTCTGGAGCATTATTTTGATTCTTTTTTATTGCAGTGAAATGGAAGCTATGGGATAAAAGAAGCCAATTAAAGGTTTTTAGACACTGCTAATATTTTTTGTCAAGCACGATGCCTAGATAATATTTGTGTACTATTTCCCCTGCTTCGGGCTGCTGCCTGAAGGTGGCCCCCACTCGCTTGAAAGGTCCCGAGGCTTGGTATAAGTGGGGTGTCCGTCACGGGGGAGGAAACCGCGGTGGCTGCCTCTGGGGGGGTCTCGGGTGACGTTCAGTAAGTGCAGGCTCTCCCACCGCAGAGCCTGCTTGGGAGAAGCTAACCTCAGCTGACCTTCATCCTTAGCAGACAGTTTTCTCCGAGTTTTTCTGTATAAAATACACATTTTAAGAAACACCAGGCTAAAGAGTGGAACGTGGACAAAGCAGGATTTTCCCAGTATTACTCTTGTCTTCCTACTTTGGGAGAGGGAAGCGTGCAGCCTCCTTAGCTCACCTGGTCTTAAAAAACAAAGGTTCTGAGTCTTCATTCTCTAGGGTTCGGTCTAAAGGGAAAAGGACTGCAGGTTTTCCAGGGGTTCAGGCTTCCTGGGAGCCTGTTGGCCTGTCTTATTTACGCTTTACACATTTCTCTGATGGTATCCCCTCAAGAATAATTGATCTTTCCTGGAAATGCTACTGGAATATTTCTGACTAGCATGACTTTCTTTTTAAAATCTCTTAAATTTTGTTAATGCTGGTAGTGCATGCTTATGAAAAGTTTTTAAAGAGCATAAAATTGTAATTTTTTAAAAAAAACGAAAGCAGCCTTACAGTTCCTTCCTCTTTTCCCACTTGAATAGTCCAATCTAAAAAATACTAGGTGGGGCTGAGCAAAGTAGGAGTCTTCGTGACATGAAGCTGAGAACCTGTAAGAGAACAAGTCAGTGATTTAGCTGCTTAACAGTAAAGCATGAACTACCACACAGTACATTGGGAAAAACTATTTACAGCTCTCGTGACAAGAGCAAGTTTTTATCGTGTGTAAGGACAACGTACAAGTACTTAGCAGCAGGCTAGCAGGAAGTCTACGGAGGACAGCAGCAGCCTGTTCCTAAGAAATTTGCGTATTTTTATGCAAATGAGAATTTTTGTTATGCAGATTAGAAAGTTCTTATTCTCACTCTGAGAGTAGGGTACTGAGCTGTCACTTTTCCAGTCCTCAGTACAGAGAGTCAGAGACAGAGACAGAGATCACTTGTCATGTATTGGATTGACAAAGATCAAGAGTTACAACATTTTTCACAGTGGAGCACTACTCTGCCATGAAGAAGGAAAGCCTTGAGTCATCTGTAGGAAAATGGAGGCACCTTGAGCCATAATGTTAAGTGAAGTAAATCAACACCCAAGGTTGAATATTGTGTGGGAGGGGGAGGCGGGAGGGAAGGGGATGAAAAAAGAATTGAGATGTGCGATGTACATGTAACTCCCTGCAAGGAATATAATCATTATGTACCGCAAACGTGTGCTAACAAAAAGTAAAAACTGAAAAACGAGTTCAAACATCTTTTGAAACATCTGTGGGAAAGCAAGCACTTTCCAAGCTTACATAGTACAGTGTGTGCAGAGCACAATTGGAGAGCACTCAGCAACTTACTCACGCACAGTCCCTTTGAACCAAGTTTCACTTCTAGGAACTTTGTTATTGAGGGATTCCCAAGCAAATGCGCTGACAGATTCCTGAAGTTACTTACTGCATTGTAGTTTATGACAGCAAAAGATCACAAACAGCACAAACGCCCATCAGTAGGGAGTAGTTGAACTTGAAGGATGTAAAACATGGAATATGTGCAACTATTAAAAAATAAATAAACTAAATGTGGAATGAAGCCTGAGGTATCTGTTAAGAGAAAAGAGCAAGTAGTTGGGCCGGGGATTTAGCTCAGTGGTTCCGCCGCCTGCCTCTCAAGCTCAAGGACCCAAGTTCGATCCCCGGTACCAAAAAAAAGCAAGTAGTTAAAGTCTGTGCGTATTCTGATGCTGTTGTGTGAGAAGGAAGGGTGAGGCACTCATGTGTGTATACACAGAGGGTCTCGGGAAGCACACAAGAACGGGGAGCCACGTCGGTCATCTGCAGAGTGGACCGCTAGGGGACTAATGTGTGGGAACGGGGGATTTCCAAATGTGTCTGCTGTTCACATTTTAACCATGGGATTTACCATGTAGTAAGTATCCAATTGGAAGATAACATTTTGCAGATCAGATAAAAAGCAAGCAGCATCGCATACTTTTACAGACCCTACAACCATCATCACAGTCATCAGGTGATGTTTTTCTCCTCCGTCCAGCAGAAGATACTGTAGTTATCTCTCTGCAAAGAGAGTTATGTACCAGTTCACCAATACCGACTCATTCCTGGAGTGACCCCTGTGTAACACTCCTCTAATGCTGTGCTTTTTTATATTCAAATTTGTTGGGTTCATATTCAGAGCTGAGATGTATTTATAGTATTTTATTTGTTGGTCATCTTTGACATGTTTTGATAAGAAATATAAAGCTCTCTAAAAGAATTGAGAACCCTCAAAAAAGCAACCAACGAGAAAAGAATGGAGAACCTTTCATTTTCCTTTTTTTTTCTCCCTGCCCCTCAAGGCAGGCAAGCCAAGTTGAAATCCTTTTGCTATTTTTGCACTTACAGTAACTGCGCTTTTACCCACAGGAGGAAGAAGAAAGTACTTGCAAGACACAGAAAACCTCCTGGCTTCAAGATTGTGTTTTATCCTTGTCGCCAACCAGCGACCTTATGGTCATAGCTCGGGAACAGAAAGCTGTGTTTCTAGTGCGTGAGTAACTTGTTATTTTGGGGACCTTTATTTTCAAGCAGAGCCCTGAGCAGAAGAGCGATTGGATGGAGCGGAAAAGCGTCGCTTCTGCTGTATGTATCATGCAGTGGCGTCTGTAGACCGCAGAGCACTTTGTCCACCCCTTCCCTTTCTTTTTCTCCTTCCTTCTGTTTCATCTTTTGACTTGAGACACTTTAGCTGTCTCTGTGGCACTTGAGGAGCTGAACTGGGCATTTTCCACTTCTTGCAAGGGACAAGGTCCCAGGCCCTCCTTTCTTTCAGTTCTTTTTATTAGCGCGGTGTGTAGCACATAATGATTGGATTCGTCCTGGGGTTGGACAGACCCTTAGATGAGTAGGGTGATTTCCAGCCTAATCTGAAGACTCACACTACTCTAGAGGTTTTTTTTGCTACGTAAGTTTTCAGCTCATAAAATTTTTGTTGAAGGTCAAATTTTTGATTTGGGAATATATGGGGTATGAAAACCCTCATTGGTCAAGATGAGGTTATATATAAAATGGCTAGGAAACAGTCTTACAAAGCAAATGTATCCCCAGTATCCTAAATGTGATAGAAACATTTCTCTGCTATCTGAAGATAAAAGTAATTATAAATAAAATACATAGGATGATGCATAGGATTAATAACTTTGTTCTGCAAAAACTATGAAGACATTATATGATTTTAATTGGAAGAACAGGAGACTAAAGGCTAGGAGACCAGGTGATGTCATAAAATCTCTTTAAAAATTTAAAGCATTATCTTGTGTTTAACACCCAAGTCAGTTAATATAGAACTTTTAAATTTTGTACTCATCATTCTAATGGGAAAGAGTGAAATTTATAAATTACTGTCTTAGTGTATTACAAGGTTATTTTATATGGTATCTTAATTTTTCAGCAAAATGGAAGCATAGTGATAAAGGAAGGGAAGAAATGCAGTTTGCCGTTGCTTGGAGCGGTTCTCTAAGTGTTGAAGAAGGGTAGGTGCCAGTTAACTTTGTTGTTTCTCTGTGAGTTAAATCGTATGTGAAATTGACTTGTAACTGAATCTATTAAGTTTTATCATTTGAAGTTATTTAAATGTATGTGTATCCCAACTTCAAAAGTTATAAAGAGTGATTTTCCCAGTAAATTTTAATTTTACTTGCGTGATTTATTTTTAAGTCCAGTTTGAAGATTAGAGTTCAGGAAGAATCCCATAAAATCCTTTGTATACCCTGTCTTTCACCTCTGCTCTCTGTAGCTAACTTTAGTCATCCAAAAAAGCCAAGGGTGGTCATTTTCCTGTTTTACTAGCTTTGGGCTTCCACACCTCAAGGGCTATACGTTCATTCCCAAAGCTCTCAAGTACTCCAGAAATGCACGTTGCTGCATTTAAGTTTCCTACCGACCCAGTGAAACTTGTAGAACCCGGATCTTAGGGTGGTCACATGCCAGTGCTGCTAGCATTTACCCTGGAGCCAGGAGTAGTGTTTGGTTACATTTTTACGACTGGAGACTGCTGAGAATGAATAAGGAGGCCTTTCAGACTTGATCCATCAAGCACAAGTGCCTGGTGCTTGCCCGGCACACTAGAGATAGTGAAATATTTTCCATTATTATCAAGAGAAGCAATATTTTTCATTTTATCACAGCATTTTACGCATATTAAAATGTCTTGTCATAAATAAACAGTAAACATATTACTTTAAAAAAATCAAGAGGGGGCCGGGGATTTAGCTCAGTGGTTCTGCCGCCTGCTTCGCAAGTGCAAGGACCCGAGTTCGATCCCTGGTACCAAAAAAAAAAATCAAGAGGGCCAGGGATTTAGCTCAGTGGTGCCACCACCTGCCTTGCTAGCACAAGGTCCCGAGTTCGATCCCCAGTACCAAAAAAAAAACGAAAAAAAAAACAAGACTAATTTAGTTCCTTGCTTTCCTCGGCCTATGTGGGGCGGGAGTGCTGGAGATTTCTTCCGAAAGCTGGTAGTGCCCCAAGGTTTGCAGGGTTAATGAAGGCCAGTCTATAGGAGCTGTTCCAGATAGAACTGAGCACTTACTGCCTTTACCACCACACTGTGGAGAAATAAAAGTAATTGCTAATCACTGGATAGGCCTAAGATTTTGACTGTGACTTGCTTTTGTTCTTAGGGAGTGTGTGACCAGTGCTCTGTGTATCCCACTAGCAAGCCAGAAGAGGTAAGGGGAGCACGGGCTGTCTGTGGCCTTGGCATGGACGCGTGGGCTGTTTGCTCATGAGCTGTGTTTGTGACAGGAGTTCCACAGGGCGTCCTGACTGGACCTGCATCGTGGTGGGTTTTACTTCGGGTTACGTTCGCTTCTACACTGAGGTGAGTTGAGTTTCCAGTGGCAGAAAACCAGTTGTGTGCATCCCCGTTTACTCGCTGTGACTTAGTTTCCTCCGCCTGGAAATGTGTCCATGATGCTTGAGGGGGTGGCGGCCAGGACAGCATGGGCCTTCTGGTGGAAGATCCGAGAAGAAAAGCTGGTTTGGAAAAGGGAGGACGCCGAGTGGCTCTGCCTGGCCACCTGTCCAGCGCCAGGGAGAAAGCAGCGCCTCTGTGCTTTCTCCTAGACCGGCGTGCTTCTTCTGGCACAGCTGCTGAACGAGGACACGGTGCTGCAGCTGAAATGCAGGACCTACGAGATCCCCCGGCACCCTGGCGTCACTGAGCAGGTACTGCGGACAGACTGCTTTTCTTCGCTTTGCAGCATTCACAGTGAAAAGTGTAGGGTATACCTCCCTTTCTTGCATATGTTGTACACACAGGAGAGTGAAATTGCATGATAGCTGGACTGGAGGTGTAGAATAAGATTGCGTATCTAGTAAGAGAAACTGGTTTAATATCTCTTAATACCTATGAATGAACTGATAATATAAAAATACCTAATTGCTAATTTACGTGGACAGAATAAATTCTGTACACATTAGAGCAGGGGGAGCTCCATTACAGCTAAGTGACAGTTTCATGGAGGAAGCCATGAATAATAAGCATGGGATTTAATTAGTTGAATAATGGAAAAAGAGGGCAAGTATCACGTATGCAAGAGAAAAATGAGAGAAGGTTTAGATACAGGAAGGAGTATGTGTGCTGCAACAAAGAAACCTATGCCAGGAAACAGGGAGAAACCCATAAACAGACAGAGTGGCCACATTTTGCATAAACCTGAGTGCGTAATAATAACAGAATTGATTCAGGAGAGGAGAGAAGCTCCCAAGCATTCCTGAGGAAGAAGTGCTGGGATGAGAGACCCATCCTTCAGGATGGGTTGGTTGGTGGTCTCGGGTGCAGAGCAGCTGGCCCTCCGGGTTTCTAACTCCTCTGCAGGATGTGGGGAGGGTTCTGAGGTATGGGGGGAGAGAGGACAAGAACAGAAGTCACTGATGAAGCAGCCAGCAGGATCAGTTAGTGCCTCGAAATGCAGACTATTAAAGAGAAATGGGTCAAGAGTTGTAGGGACTAGGGAAGGGGCATGTTATCAGAACCTCTGTAGTAAGTCTCAGTCTCTTGTGAGCCACGACAGCACAAGGCGAATTAATTAATATATAGGGAGAAAATGAGACTTAGAGAAGAAGCTGAGCTTTGGGCCTGATCAGTGCCACTTGGGGCGGCAAAGACCCAGACAGAGCTTGCCACACCTTTATTTAGAACATCAGCAGAAACAAAAGTAGTAAATGACTCAGAGGGTACAGTGACTATTTTAGAACAATGAGGAACTGTGCAGAGGGAGATTTGGTTCCTCCCAGGATGTCTCCAGCTGGTGTGGTCCTGCCCTGGAGCATCACAGCATCACAGGACCATTGAGGTCTTAGCTATGACTGAAGGCGAAAATGGAGTTATGTCTGGACACATCATAGCTGGCCTGTAGACAGGAAAACTAGGCCCTAATTGTGATTAATTATGAAGTGATTTTTCCCCAAAATCATACAGAATTCCTCCTGACAAAGAGTGACACTAACAGAGCGGGAAGAGGGAAATAAATAAAGGTTATGAAAGGTGGTTTGGAGCACGCTGATCTCAAAGCAGTGGCAGGAAATGAAATGAAGACACAAGTGTCAGGTAGTGGGTGCAGAGCTGCTGTGAGGCCAGACTGCAGGTGGAGATGGTGATGCAAGTCCTGGGTAACAAATCCTCCAGGTAAAGGTGGGGGCGGCAGAGCTGCAGCTGGACACTTTCGTCTCAGTAATGGTCATGACAGGGAGAGGGGAAGACAGCAGTCGGAGGCAACAAAGAAAGAGTGGTTAAACCCGAGATGAAGAGCTGTAAATGCAAGGTGTCTCTCTCAAGAGCCGCTTCCCATCTTCCACACATCCCCTGGCTGGTGAAGGTTCATTACCACTGTAGGCCTGGTGCAGTCTGTAGTACTGTTAGGACTGATGGAGAAATCACCTGACACTGAACTATCTGCTTGTGGTTTGCTGTACAAGCCCAGAAAATCACCTTTGAGCTGGACACCGCACGTGGACCAGAAAGCCTTTGTGTGGCTCTGGGTGCCGTGTGAGCCCCAGACCTGGCCCAGGCCTTTGTGTGTCAGCGCCGAGAGCCTCTCACTGGCCTGCTTCCTGTAGTCCAGGCCTAGCACAGGCCCCAGGAACCATCTCCTCCACGGTGCTGGGTCAGGGTGCAGTCAGGGCAACCAGGAGTCCTGCAGGGAAGGCTCCTGGGGATAGGTCAGAAGGCCCTGTCGCCCCTGCATGAGAATCTTGTCACCTCACAGCAGCCTCAGGCGAGGGACTGCTGGTGTCTGTGGTAGTGTTTTCTAGGGAAGTTGCTGGTCTGAGTGGTTAGGTCCCTCTGTCTCAAGCTGGTCAAGCCAGGGAGGAGGCCCCTCCCTGCACACATACTGTGTAAGCGTGCATGCCGCTCCCTTGCCTGGGTCCTGCTCCTCGTGGCCCAGAGTCCCTTTTCTAATAGAAACAGCCAGCAGTTAGAAGAGGAGGGGGCAGGGAGGCCTCCAGAGAAGAAATGTCATTGGCCCCAGAGCGTGAGAAAGTGTTGAGCCTTCCTGGTCGAAGAGTGGAAGGTCATTGACACCTGCCACACTGGCAAAGCTGAAGATCCGCAGAACTGGTGGTGGCAGTAGGAATAGGCACTGTCACGTTATCGGGGCGTAGATTGACGAGCACTTGAGGCTGTGTAACAGTAATAGGTTCTGTGATATTCTGGGAGCTGGCAGACTCACTCAAAGGAACTGACAGTGAACTACTAAAGCGGCACCCTGCTAATGGGCGAGGTAGAGACAGAAGGATGTCTGTCGCAGTGATGTCTATAATACTGAAAGATGGCCATGCCTCACCCGTGGCTCGTCCTGTCCAGGTCTAAGCACTTAGGGTCACCGGCGAGTCTAGAGTGGGGCTGGGAGCCAGAGAGAGCCTGGTGACTCTGGTCCCACATGGTGCCCCAGGGACGGGGTCGAGGACTGAGCACTGCAGAGGGCCGAGGTGTTGCCCTCCTTCCTGCTGAAGCAGAAGCAAACGATGGTGCCAGGCGTCCACGCCAGGTCTCACCCTGGGTTTTCCTCTAAACGCAGTGGGAGCTGTGGGGTTTTCATCAGGAGAGCGGTTCGGTCCCCGTGCTTCTGAAGGTGACACTGCTGTGTGGCTTGTGGCTTGTGGAAAGCAGGGACAGAAGCAGGAGGCCAAGTGAATGTCCATTGGGTAGAGCTGGTTAAGTAAAATTGGGTACATAGCTGGGCACAGTGGTGGAAGGCTGAGGGAGGAGGATTGCTTAAGCCCAGGAGTTCAAGGCCAGCCTGGGCAACATAGGGCAACCCAATCTCAAAAAAAAAAGAACATTGTAAATCCAGGGGAAATAACGGTTTGCTTATTTACTTAAATGGGAACATAACACTGGCACTATTGAGCCATAAAAACACGCAATAAAATATGGCGTGGTATAGTCTCATGTCCAAGTGTATGAATATATTTGAGAATGTGCATTGGGACGCGTCTGGGACTTCAGGTGAGCTTTCTTCTTCTTGTTATTGTAGTGCTTGTATCTGTGCAATGACTTTTAATTTTTATGATACTGAAAAATTTTTTGTTGGCCTTCCAATCTGTCCTGAGACCACTTTCCTACCATTTACAAGAACTCATGTTTTAGAATTTTAAGTCTTTGGCAGAGGCATTCTGGAATTAATTTTCCATTTGTTTTTATTGTCCTGCTGCCTGATACTGCTTTTGTGTTAGGCAGTCACGGTATTTTACTTTACATTATTCCTGATTATCAGGTATTTTTAAAAAACAGCTATACTTATTTTCCAAACCTGCTTAAGAAAAATTTATAATTTTTCCCTTTCTCACTTCCTTAATAGAGTGAAGAACTGAGTATCTTATATCCGGCTGCCATTGTGACCATTGACGGATTTAGCCTTTTTCAGTCTCTTCGTGCCTGTAGAAACCAGGTAGCAAAAGGTACTTTTTTGGCAGGAAATACTAACTGGTTGTGATGTTATCTTATTGAGTGTGACCTGGTTACGGAATTAGTCAAGTCTTCTGAATAAACAGGGCCTTCAGCTCCCGACTGCTGCTGTGGACAGGAGCCTGCATTGGTGGGTGGCTGCTGGGTGATGGAGGTGGGGTAGAAACCAGCGCTGTCTTAGTAGGGACAGCCTGGGGTTTCCTCACCCATGGGGTCGCCCTCGTCGGGAGAAGGACTCGCACCTGCTCAGACAGGAGGTTGGCTGCAGCTAGCACTTCCTCACCCGACTGCAGCTGTCGGGCTGTGTGCTGCAGTCCTGTGACTGCACTGCCTCCCTCGCTGAGCCCCAGGGTGTCCTGAGCAGCGCTGAGAGCCCTGCCAGGAGGGAGCATCGGCCTTGTGCTGCCAACCCAGAGCCCTCAGAAACGGAGGAAAGCTGGAGGCTCCCAAACACTGCCCCGTTAGAGTAACCCTTCCTTGTCCCCATAGTTTCTGTCCCGACCCTGTTGCACCCTTGGAAGAGGATGGTGTATTCCATCAGTCCAAGAGGCCATTGGCTGTAAGGTGCACTGGTAGGTACTCTGATGCTAAGAAGAAAAACGTAATAATGCTAGTGAAATACACACCATTGGTGATGTTTAAGATGTCAGTTGTAGAGATGTTGAAATGCGAGGAAGAGAAGACAAAGTTCAGTGAAAGTCTCGGGAGCGGCGCGTACGTCCTCTTTCTCTCCGGGACTGGGTAGGAGCCTGGCGGCCCTTGGTTAACCCCTCGGCACTGGAGATAGTTCCCTGAATTGAACGCTTTCCTTGGGATATGTTTGCTACTCCATAAAAATTTCCAAATCCAGATCGACTGTAAGATGCAAAATAAACAATTTCTTCTAGGGAAAAAATACACCATTTCTCTTGCAGTAGAAAATTTTCTGTTCATAGTAGGCTGTGATTGATAAAATTCTGAAGTTTTGGACCTATGGTTCTTTTTAGTAGTATATGCTTTTTTATTAGGTCAGAATATTTTTGAATTTTATTGCTATATTCATAATCTTTTAAATTGCTTATGTTTAACCTACCGTAAACGTCATTTGTTTAGTCACCATTTATTTAAAAGTCACCATTTAAAATTTGCCATAGTCATCATTTTAAATAGGCACCATGAATTTAAAGTAGTCACCATTAACATGTGATGCCCAAATAGATTGGCAATTTTCTGTAGGTAAGAATTCTGTTATTAAACTAGAAATGGCTAATGCTGTTACAGTTGGTATTGTTGGCCACCTGCTCTTCACAGGTTTTGAATTCCGGTGTATTGGTTACATAGAAGACTGTGGAGTCAGTTGTTTTGCCTCCTAGGAAATCAGGAACTAAGCCACTTAGTGCTCTCTCATTGTAAGTTGCTCTGCAAAGAATTATGGTGACTTAGAAACAGATGGTTGTGGCATTTATTGGACAATTTAGGAAAATTCTTTTGGTCTTCCTATCAAATCTGCAGTGTTTAGAGAATTATATTTTCTTTTATTAACTTGTACTTTTCTTAGTGAAGGAAGACTTGACAGTCAGAACTCCACCGTGTTCACTGTGAACATGGAGCGTACTGAGAATGGGCCTTGAGTGACTGGCCTGGTGTTAGCTGTCGGTTTCCTTCCGGTACTCAGTAGACGGAGGGATGAGGCTGGAGGCTGGTGTCTCCGTTACACCTCTGTCCATTCCGGCCGTGGTGACCAAAAACATTTTTGGTGGGGTTTTTTTGGTACCGGAGATCAAACTTGGGACCTTTTGCTTGCGAGACAGGCAGTGGAACCACTGAGCTAAATCCCTGCCCCTGGTTTCTCGTTTTTTGCCGAGCAAAGCCCGGGTTGCTGCTCCCAGGATTTCCCGCCTATCTCAAGTGGGAGAACCTGGCTGCCTGGCATATGGAGTGGAGTGTGGATCTGCCTCCATCTTTAGTGCTTCTCTAGGATTTTTAAGTCTTCTGGAGTTACCTGGGTCCCCAGAATCTCCTGAAACAGCCTTTTAAATGTTGGCATTTTTATACCAATTGCCATGGCAGAAACCTGTTCCCTTAGTTTGCTTCTTTTTTTTGTTTGGTACCGGGGACCAACTCAGGTCCTTGCACTTGCGAGGCAAGCGGCAGAACTACTGATCTAAATCCCTGGCCCATTTGCTTCTGTATTAGTTGAAATTTTAGAATAACAAATATTATGTGTTCAGTTATTTTTGTGGAGCTTCATTTCATCCATTTCAGCAGGAATTGTCTAACTTTTGTCTGATAGCTGCAGCATCAGGCAGCGAGAACATAGAGCCGCCGCCCTTGGCGTATAAGAAATGGGGTCTGCAAGATATCGACACCATCACGGACCACGCCAGCATTGGTAAGCTCTTCCTGCTGGACTTCTGAACTTCACTTCTTATGCATTGTGACTGGATAGCTCATGTCTTAGAAGCGGTCATTTACTCTTATGTGAGAAAATGCATTTCCGGCTGGGGGTTTCGCTCAGTGGCACCATGTCTGCCTCGCAAGCGCAAGGTCCTGAATTCAATCCCTGGTACCAAAAAAAAAAAGCATTCACTTTAGTGAGACATTTGGAATTTACTTCAGGCTCAGATCATCAGAGCCTCATGTCTTTAAGAAACAGCTTCAGTTTTAATAGATTTACTTACGCCCTGAGCCAGCAGTGTTTCAGTTGCTCCCTCTTTGACTTAATTTTCTGTAGGTAGTTATTTCCATATAATGACCATATAAATCAGTCTTTTTAAATGTGATCCTTAAAGCAGCAGAATACAGCCAAAAGCAGATTTCTCCCACCAGCCAGCGTCTGAAGGCTCTTGTGTGAGGCAGGCACCGGGAGCACAGCCGTAAGCAGGCGTGGCCCCTGCTACCTTGCAGAGCCGAGCCCAGCAGAGCCCAGTGTGGGGGAGGACCTGTGTGAGAACAGCTGCGGCACTGCGACAGGGCGGGCACAGAGGGGCCGCCCAGCACTGGGGCACCAGGGAGAGGAGCTTGGCTTTGATGGGGTTGAAACAGTGACGCAGAGTGGGCCACGAGGAGTGCGTGGGAGGCGTTCCAGCGGGCGGGCTTAGGCGAGGGGTGGGCACCGTCGGCCAGGCTGGAGCGAGGCGTCCGAATCTGCAGCCCCGTCTTCCCCGGAATTGCAGCCCAGAGCTTCCTTTGAGCTTCTCCCAGCAAAGGTGTAGCAGCCCCCGCCACAGTGGGCTACCTGAAGAAGCACTGGGTGGCCGTGCTGTGGCTGGAGGAGAGGGGTCAGGCCTGGCAAGGACAGTGCTTAACCCTGGCGGAATAATGGGCTTTGAGTTAAGGAAGTCAGAGTAGGGCGGAAAAGACAGAAATGGGTCTGACAGCTTCTGTGTGTGTTTTCTGTCTGTGTGATATATGCTGGTCGAAAACGCAAATGGTGCCCAAATGTACAAAGAGAGAATACCCTTAAGCCCTGCTTTCCAGAGGTCACCCTTGGCATTCGTAAGCACCCTTACAGACGTCCCAGTGTGTGTGTAAATGTGTGTGCAGTGTGCGTATGGACACGTGAGAGATAGGCTCCCACAAGTGGGATGGTATCGTGCCCGCTGCACTCCAGCCCTCTTCCAGTCAGGGCATCGTGAAGAGCCGTGCACATGGCTTTCCTAAAGGTCCGTCTCATCAGCCAGATTCCTGATAAAGACAGATGGCACCCTTGAAAGAAGGAAGCGAGAGGAGGAGACCCACCAAGGAATGGCTCCGGGTCCCCAGGCTTCCCAGTGCCACACTGCTACCACAGCTGGGTGGGAGGAGACTCGGGCTCGAGGCAGCACCAGAACTCGGAGTCAGGGCCGCAGAGCAGGGTGGCTTCTGCTCCTGAGCCACAGCCAGCTCTCAGGGAGGGACCCGGGAAGTCCACATCGGACTTCACTCTCCTTTCTCTCTTGGGTCGCGCGACAGGCTTCCCCTCTGTGTGAATTCTGCCAGAAGTCAGCCTCAGCCTTGGAGACGGGCCAGGGGAGGATGCAGGACAGAGGCCCTCAGAAGGTGTTTGCCCTCAGGCCCCGCTGTTGTGCACTGCACGGTCCTGTGGTAGTTCTTACTGCTCTGTAATAAACCCCCATTGGCAGGCATTCAGCCTGACTAGTTTTTCAATAACATGAAAATGCTGTCTTCAGAATTCCAAAGTGTTGGGCTGGAGATTTAGCTCAGTGGTTCCGCCATCTGCCCTGCAAGTGCAGGGACCCAAGTTCGATCCCTGGTACCAAAAAAAAAAAAAATTCCAAAGTGTTGAGTTCAGTTCAGGGTATCTTCCCTGCTCTGGTAATTAAACTTTGGAACATTGGAACTGGCTAGGGAAAGTGCTTGGATAGAAATTGTTGTTCTGTTCATTTATCCCCAGCCTACAGATGCCTGTATGTAAAGGTGTAAGGAAGTTACCCAGCAGATAAACAGCTGTAATGACTTAGGGTCAGAATCTGTGCTTGAAACATAAAGCAGACGGAACCCCTACCCTGATGAAGCGTGTGTCCCTGTGGTGGAGAGACACGATAAACAAGTAAACTAAGTGAGCAGATGCAGTATTGTCAGAATGCTGCTGTAGTAGGTATTGCCAAGACATGAGGCAGAGAGTTCTGTTAGAAGGAGAGTCCCTTCTGCAGATGGAGGGGAAAGGGCTCCGTGGGGAAGACTTCAAGGGACGGAGCTTGGGGAGAGAGCGGGAGGAGAGGTGTTTGGTTTGTACTTGCTGAGTTTGAAAAACAAGAGAAAGGAAAGAATGTCTTAATTTTCAAGGCCTAGGAGGAAGAGTGACGGTGGACAGATGAGAGGAGGGTGTTGAGCATGCGTTCAGATGAGAGGACCAGGTGGACAGGTGGAGGTGCTGGGCTGAAGGTCATGGGAGGTTCTGATGTGGACTTGAACCGGCAGAGAGCAGGTAACTTAGGGGAGTGCCAGAGATGGAGGAAGGGAGATTGCTGGACCCAACAACATAGGGCGCTCTGTTGACGCCGGATGTGAGCAGCTGAAGTGGAATGATGAGGATGAAGGCCAGATAGGGTAGCTTTAGGCTTAAGAGTAAGTATTCCTACTCCCTGCTCTCAAAAATCACCCAGAAAACCCTACAAATAAGTAAAATCGCAGCGTCTCCTTTTCTTTAAAGACAAGGTATCACTGAGTTACGCAGCCTGAGTTCAGACTTGTCATCTTCTTCCTCAGCCTCCCCAGCAGCCAGGATTCTTGCTGTGCATCGCCGTACCCTGCTGCGGTCTCCATTTTCCTCTCCAGTTAGGACCTCTTCCTTGAGCTTTGTGTTCATTTTTCCAGCTCCTTCGAAAACATTTCTCAATTCCAAAATATAACAACCACAGTTGGGTTCTTGACTTCTTCCCATCAAACTGGCTCCTCCGCTTTCCTTCCACCTCTTCCCTGTGCTGTCTTCTTCCGGGCCCGGCCGGCCCAGGGCTCTCACTGCATCACACAGGGCTTCCGGGCCCGTGGACTCACTAGCGTCTCCCACTCCCGGCCTCTGTGCTCACTGCTGCCTCTGCCCAGGAGGCTTTGCCCAGCCCCTGCCTGGCTTCTCCCAGTCCTCACCAGGCCCTCTGTTCACTGCTGCTCTCGTCAGAGAGGCCTCTGCCACTGGCACAGGCCTAGGGAGGATTCCGTGAGGTCGACCATGAAGTTCCTGTGTCTGGAAGTGTGGAGAGACCCAGTGTTAGGAGAAACCCTAAACGACATGGTACTGACGACTCCAGAAAGCACTCGCAGCTGAGAAGTGTAACCACAGCAGGAGGCTTAGCAGGGACACTGCATCAGTCTTCATCCAAACAGTGTGAGTTTAAGAAAAACCTGAGGTGAAGTGCATTGGAAAGATTGGCGCGGGAGAGGGCTGGAAGTGGACTGTCACCGCAAGCCCGTGAGAACTGCCAAAGTTGGTGATGGCTGCAGTGCTCTAGAGGAGCCAGCGGCATGTAGCAGGGTGCAGGGCAGAAGGGCATTTACGTCGTGCTGCAGGGAGGGGTCAGCGAGAGCTGCCCTGGGAGTGCGTGGCCGACGGGGAGGACGTGGGTCCGTGGAGACTGCGGCCTCACGTGAAAACCCGTGTGTCCTCTGTCTCTGGCGGTGACAGGCTGCAGAAAGCTGAGGTCAGCCAGGTTTGGAGGGAGCCAGGGGGAGTGTGCAGAGGGAGCGGGGTGCCGGGAGTGGGGCATTGGCGAGAGAGCAGCCTTGGCTAGGCGGGAAGGGGAGTTGCCACGAGCAGCTTGATAATCAGGCAGTGATGGGACTCAGGAGGCGAAACTCAGTAAAACCGCAGGATCCTTGAGGGCCTCACTAAAGTGGCTGGGACGGAGAGCTAGGTGTCAGAGGGTGCTGGACGCGGGGTCACGGGACATGCCGCGCATGTGGCAGAAGCTGGGTGGGCAGTGAAGGGTGGCGTGGGTGGTGGGAAGGCTAGAGCAAGGCAGCCGCTCCCGTGGAATAGCTGAGGGCCGGGCCGGGCCTGGCCGCTCCCCTGATGTTCACTGTGTAGTGACGAGTTGTCTGCTGGACATCTTACAGCAGCTTACACTATGCCCTGGGTTGCATGGGAGTATACAGAGGAGCCCTTTTAAACTGAATATCAGTTTCTATGCTATCATTTCGCCCTTTGATTTTGTCCAGGCAGAGGCAGGCAAAAGGGAGGCAAATTTATTGTGTAGTACACACTGTGTGTACTGAATCTGGAATTCATGAAGATGAGACAGGCATCTTGATCTTTTAAATTAGTCCATCATTTACAAGGATTTATTTGATTAGTTTAATGCCTAAACCCAAGGAATAGTTTGCTTATGAGTTTACTGGAAGAATTTCCTTCCCCAGTTCTCCTCAAGAGTAATGCACATTTGGGCAGTTTGGGGCCGAACAAAGGCAGTGTCTCCATGTGGAAGTACATGGCGCAGTGACGTGAAGGAGGCGAGGCCCTCCGGGGGTTTGTCTCCATGTCCCCTGTGGCCCTCTGTGAAGACGTCGCCATGGCCATGTGTGCTGCAGTCTCGCACCAGGCCTGCCTTCTCTCCATCTCTAAGCTCATGTTCCCCTCCTCTGGCCCCCGGGCGAATCGAAAGGGCAGGCTTTTCTCTGCTGCACGCAGCAGGAGGATGGCAGCATTCGCTCTGTAGTGTCTGCCCAAGAGCCCTGGGGAAATGCAGAGCAACCTTCACTGTGAGGCAGGCTGGGGACCTGGGGACTGCAGAGGGTGCTCAGCCTGTTCAGGTGGGAGCGTAGATCATCACCTCCTCTGGAATGCAGCGAGATGGCACTTAATAAAGATTTGAGAATACACATCCCCTTTGTCCCCACACTTCTGTTCATAAGAATTTATCATGCAGATAGACTTAAACAGGTGTGCAAGAACATGTTAAGGATATTATATAACGTATTAAGAACATAATGTGTGTGTGCGTGCATATAATATGTGTGAAGGCGTATGTGTGAACACATATGAACACATGCCAGAGGGTGAGAGAGCCTGGAAGTCTGCGAGTGGATCCCATCAGTTATGGGGTCCAAGGAAGGAACAAGTGATTGGGGAGACTACAGACTTACAAGCTCATAAAGAAAAGACCAAGGGACACATCTGGGTCTCAGGTGTGCTGTCATGTGTGTCTGCAGACCTCTGGCGTAAAACACTGTCACTTGTTGCATCCAGGAAGTGAACTGGTAGCTGAGAATACAGGTGGTTTGTACATTTCTTGTACCTTCTGATTTTGTATCTGTTCAGACAGTTGATATTTCAATTTTGTTTTTGTAATATTTTATAGGGCAGAGAAATTATAGATGACAATTTTAATATTTATGAATATTTTAATGTTGATTTTGTAGTTTTAAAAATGACTTGAGTCTTAAACTAAACAGCATGGCGAAATAAAAATGTGACATAGGACACTGTTGCATTGTCTGCATCCCAGGTGTTACGACCCTGTCCCCTTTTGATCAGATGAAGACCGCCTCCAACATAGGCGGGTTCAATGCAGCGGTCAAAAACAGCCCACCCGCCATGTCGCAGTACATCACTGTCGGCGCCAGCCCCTTCACCGGCTTCTTCTATGCACTCGAGGTAGGAGCTCCATCCCTCCCTCCCGCACGGGAGCCTCCCGGCCACACCGGACATGTGGATTCGGCAGTGAGGCTTTGGAAAGACAAAGCACTTTACATTTCTGCGTTTCATTTAAAGCTGAAACGAATCACATGTAGGCTTCATGTAAATTCCTTGGTAATCCGAAGGTTTTGAAGTCAGGGTGAAACACGGGTGTTTCTGGAGCCCTGCTCTCTGGCAGCAGATGCCAGTGCAATAGTCAGGAGCTGCTTGCATCAGGCACGAGGACTCGGTGAGTGAGGAGCTGGAAGATGAGCAGCTGCCAGCTGCTGCTGATGTCAGTGCTGAAAACTGCTTCCAAAGTGGGAAAAGTTAGTGCTACCTCTGGCAGCTCTTATTTCTCACGTAAAAATCAGCCTTCTCAGAATTGTCCAAGCTGTCTTCTTACTTTGTAAAAAATACGTACTTACTTAAAAAAAGAGAAAAGAGCCAGCTGTGTGTAGATAGCACACCTATAACTCATCTAGAACAATGTCTTCTTAATGGGATAGTTTTAACATTTAGTTTAGTTAAATTACAATTTAAAGAGAGAAACCCTGAATATAAAATAGTCTGTATACTGCTAGTGATTTTATTTTAAAACTAGAGAGTTAAAAGTTTTTATTACATTGCAGGTAAAATAAAGGTTTTGCCATCTTAAAAAGCCAAACTGCTAGTGCAGGCTTCATAGCTTTTCAGGGCATTCTAAAGTGTGTCTTCTTTGGTAAGAAGCCTTATTTCTTTGTAAGCTCCTAAGCTGTCTCTCTCACGTGTCCTGTTTTTCAGGGGAGCACACCGCCACTGTTATCACATGTTGCACTCGCAGTTGCAAGTAAACTCACTTCTGCTTTATTTAATGCTGCCAGGTAATTAACCAAACACTAGCTAACTTTATATGGTTTGGTTCTAGCTTACATTTTGATAGCCTCAGCTGTGAACGCTTAAAGCTGTAGTTATGTTCTAAATTTTCTTCCTATTCAGCGGTTGGCTTGGTTGGAAAAGTAAGCACGAAGAAGAACCTGTCCAAAGGCAGAAGCCAAAGGTGGAACCAGCTAGCCCGTTAGCCGTAAGGCAAGTCTCCCCTGCTGCTCCAAGCTCAGGATTGGAGGGGATGTGCTGTGACAGCTGAGCGATCCCAGCTACTCTTCAGGCTGAAGCAGGAGGATCGTGAGTTCGAGGCTAGCCTGAGCAACTACCACGAGCCTGTCTCAAAATGAAAAATAAGATGGCTGGAGATCCACCGGCATTGGAAGAGCACCCTTGGGCTCATCCCCAATACCACAGAGAAAAGAAGAGAAAAAATATATAGAAAGGAAGGAATGTAAAAGACAAAATGAGTCATTCCCATCACACTGAATCCATGCTGCGCTAACTAAATATTTCTTTGATTTGGCCAGGTTTAGCTTAAGTGCCGCAGCTCTCTCTGAAGAGGTTAGTTGGGTCGAGATGCAGCTCAGTGGTAGAGTGCCTGCCTAGCGTGTGTGGAGCCCCAGGTTCGATCCCCAGTGCCGCAAAGTAAATAACTGAGAGGGCTTGGGAAGTAACTCAGCATGGGTTCCGTACCACCCAGTACCACCCTCGCCCCACAGAAAGGGAAGAAGAAAGAAAGGCACTAGGCTTCTGAGAAGCATCTGTGGGAAGTCCAGGAGGAGTGGCTCTCGCTGCCTGGTCACCGCCATCTCCCCGAGAGCAGGTACCCAGGACGCACTTGGGCCTGCTCTGTAGCAGACATCTGTAGACTTAGCCCACGGTGCTGGAAAACTAGGGTGGTGAGGGCTGTTAAGTTTCTCTTCTAAAAAGTTGAGTTTTAGGCAGCGTATGTCTCAGTGCTCTGCAAAACACAAGGTGGTGGCTTCTGGTTTGCTTCAGTTAGTGCATTCATGAGGGTTTTTACGATGGAGGGAGACATGAGTTTCTTGGTTTTGTTTTTATTTCTTATTATCTAATATAAAGTACAAATACTCTCCCTCTTTTTAAAGATGTTCTTTTTTTAATTTTTTAAATTCTTTTATTGGTACATTTTAGGTATACAATATGTTTACATTTATCATTGGGTGCTTGAACCTGTATTAAAGATGTTCTTTAATGGTAGAAAGCCTACTAATTGTTAATAAAATTTATTGAAGTTTATCTTCTGAGATTTTTATCTTGTTTTAAAATGTTATAATATCTAACATGTCCTAAATTCACTCAGCAATCAAGAAATTAGCCAAATGGTCCTTTGTAGCTCAGATTTAAGTAACAAAAGCTTAGAGACTCCAGGTCCTCTGTTCTGTACCTTTCACAGTTCTGAGAAAGTTCTTTATAACCAGTGTAGTGGTGGGCACCTTTAGTCGAAGCACTTGGAGGGCTGAGGCAGGAGGACTGAGAGTCCAGGGCCAGCCTGCACACAATAGAGATTGTCTCAAAGGAAAAACGGTTAACTATAGACCAACAGCAGTTTGGCAGTAACTATTTAGAAAAAGGAAAGTTCTTGTTTTAGGCAGATGAACTGGTATCAGCAATAGTGCTACCCATCAAAAGAGAATAGATTAGGAACAAGAAAAAAATAGAAAGATGCTTGCTGGGGAGCAGAGCATTCTAAGGTTTAATTGGCTGTAAGAGCATTTTCTGCCTCTTATCAAGGAAACAGTAATTGATGTTCTCTAAAGATATATAATTGTGGGTATCTGTTGAAAGCCTATATAGGATTGTGTTTTTATTCATTTTATATATTTTATAATGCAGATGTCACATAGGACTAATAAATTATTAATCCAGATAAGGTTCATATTTCTTTATGTAAAAACAGATGCAGTCTGTTGGATTATGCATTTCATTATTGTTTCACTTGTTTTAAGACTGGAATGTGATTTTTATTTTCTTTTACATACAGATTTGGGCTTCCAGATTCTCGACGCCATGGTGAAAGCATATGTTTGTCGCCGTGTAACACATTGGCAGCGGTGACAGATGACTTTGGCAGAGTTATTTTATTGGATGTAGCTAGAGGAATTGCAGTGCGCATGTGGAAAGGTACTTTACCAGTCCTGAGGACCCTGCACTGGTTTTTTTGCCCCAGTAGGGGGCGGTGTTTCACCCTGGGTGTTTGCGCTTTCTCTTGCACCTGAGCTCGGGTCGGGCGCATGGCTTAGCAGTCATTGCTGAGTCCACTCCTTTGCTCATGTCCTGGCCGTTCAGCTCTCCCTGGGCAGGTTCTGACCTCAGTGCAGCCCCCCTTGGGCAGACCTCCTCCCACATCCAGAAGGCCAGTAAAAGGCGCCACAGTCTCTCCATGCTCCTGACTTTACCTGCACACGCCCTGGTGGGTGGTCAGTTGGTCACAGTGTCGGTGCCGGTCCTGCTGGGGACACATCTGTGGGCCCCTCTCCAGTTCGCAGGGCGCTCCTGCCAGCCCAGTCCATCTGTTCCGAGAGCCCCGTGCCCTCAGCTTCTCCTATGGTAAGGCAGCCAGGACTCACGAGCTGGCCGCGCGCCTGACCCTGGGGGAGACTTGAGAACGCCAGTGAGCCACACTGCCCCCGAGTGAAGCAGTGCCCTCTAGGGAGGGAGGAGCGCACGGCAGCAAACTGTCGGGCACGGGTTTGTGCAGCACTCTGGCCGGAAGCCAGGGCCATGGACAGGACGGGGTGGGCTTGCCTGGCTTAGTGTGGAGAGTAGTGGCCTCGAGAGGCTTGGGTACTTAGTCCCCGGATGGAGGCTCCATCACCCTGCCACGCAAAAGCTGCAGGGGCAGCAGAGTCCCCTCCTGCCACACGCTCTGCATCCCAGGAAATAAGTTTGAGAGAGCTGTGTCGCGCCTCCTTGGTGCCATCTTCCCACAGCGCCAGGGCTGTGTCCTCAGTGGGACTTGTGCATTTGGCCAGCAACACACAGCTACGCCCACTGCCACGTCCACACGGCGACTGCGCTGGCCTGGCCTGTGTTGGCAGGCACTGCCGTCCCTCCTGTGCTGCCTGGGGCCCTGTGAGGACAGAGAACAGTGAGGCCACCTCTCCTGTCACACACAACCTCCTTGGTCACTGCAGCAGCTTTGCCTCTGGCCGCGAGCCACCAGTGGGCTTCAGAGGCAGGAAGTGGATTGGATCTTTCGCTTCTGTCCCAATTAGGCCTTTATTTTAAAGGCAGACCTGGTCATCTTCCAGAGAGTTTTAGAAGAAGGGAATCCCAGAGAGAAGGAAGGGAATGGGAGTGGGGTAGAGGAATGGAGGGGCTGTCAGGGCTTCAGTGCTAGCCGGAATGTTGGTTACCTCTTCTGTGTAAGATGTTTCACACTAAGACAATAGTGTACTTGTGTAGCTTTTCTGATGGGCCGAGGTGGTGCCCAGGTTGCTCGCTGCCTAACCGGCTCCCTCTGCTGTCCCCAAGGGTACCGAGACGCGCAGGCCGGCTGGGTGCAGGTGGTGGAGGACCTCCAGGAACGAGTGCCGGGGAGGGCGGACTGCTCCCCCTTCAGGAGCGGCCAGGGTCCCAGCCGGGTGGCTCAGTTCCTCGTGATCTATGCACCGAGGAGGGGCATCCTGGAAGTGTGGGGCACGCAGCAGGGACCTCGCGTGGGGGCCTTCAACGTGGGGAAGCACTGCAGGTGAGCACGGCCAGGGCGCGCACCGTCAGCTGCCCCATGTGGGCTTTGAGAGCTGTGACTCCTCTCCTGTAGCTTTTCCAAGTATTTAATAACAAGAATTACCACAGAGAAGCCAGGCAAACTCAGTGCAGCCGCCTACCCCTTCCTCACGCTCAAAGGCACACAAGGAGAGGTCCCTCGGCTCTGCTGAGGCAGCGCAGGGCCGCGCTCTGTCTGCCACAGAGCCTTGAGCTCACTTTGTCCATCTGGAGCCCTCTCAGTCGGCCCTGCTTTCCCTTGGGTCGGGCCCAGGCTCAGGAACGCTCCTGACTTGAGGAGAAGATGCACTTTCCTAGTGGGGTAGCGGTGCCTCTGCCCTCTTCCTCTTTTAATGTCTTCACTGTATCGGTGTGTGCTGTCCTTAGGCTGCTGTATCCTGGCTATAAAATCATGGGCTTAAACAATGTCACCAGCCAAAGCTGGCAGCCACAGACGTACCAGATCTGCCTCATGGACCCCGTGTCGGGAAGCGTGAAGACGGTGAATGTCCCCTTCCACTTGGCGCTGAGGTAAGGCGCGGCCTCTGTTGACCTTGCCGGGCCCTCGCTGCCTGTGGAGCTGGCGCTCAGGGTCACTGGGCCATGGCTTCAGAGTCCCATGGGAGGTGGGAGGAAGACAGCACCGCATGCTGCAGGGAGTCGGCCCACTGTTGTTTCAGTGATAAGAAGAGTGAGCGCGCCAAGGACATGCACCTCATGACGAAGCTGGCGGCGCTGCTGAGAGTGAGGCCTGGCCCAGGTAGGTGTGGGGACAGTGAAGGGTCCTGGTGGGCAACAGGCTCCGCCTTGTGCCTGTGAGGGGCGCTGTGGGGGGGGCGGTCGTGGCACACACCCTCGACTGGGCCGGGAGCCCAAGCTGCAGGCTGACAGGGTGCGCCCGTGTGCCCCACTGCCTGAAAAGCGAAAATTCTACCTTGACTCTTGTCGTGAAAAGTGAAAGTTCTCCTTTGATTTTCTTGTAGATTCGGTTGAGACGGAAATAAAGGAGTTAATTCTAGATATTAAGTACCCTGCAACCAAAACTCAAGTAAGTGCGTCTAATATGGGAGCTTTCCCGCTGGGTGGCTGAGGACGTCGCTCTGCACCGATGCTGTGCCGCCCTTCGGCGTCCTTCCTGTGCTCACGGGCCAGCTTTGCCTGAGTGGATGTGTACTCCGTTGCTAGATAGGGAATTGCTGCTGCTTCCTGTTCCTTTTCCAATAGTGGGGATTGAACCAGACCTTTGCACTGAGCTACATCCCTGACCTGTTTTATAACGCTGAGACAGGATCTGGCTAAGCCCTTAAATTGCTCAGGCTGGGCTTGAATTTGCAGCCCTCCTGCCTCAGCCTCCCACAGCGCTGGGCTTGTGCACCCCACACACAGCTGGTATGGGCTGCCTGGACTGTACTAGTGATGGGAAACTGTTTTTCAGAATACCTACTAACTGGCTGGTGCACGGTCAGCTGATACTCGTTGATGTCCCTGTGCACTGTGAGCCCTGAGCATCAATAGCCTCGCCGCACGGTGTGGTCAGATCGCCCCTCCGCCAGGCGCGGCTGCCCTGGGGTGACCTGGGCGGTTCCTTCGCTCCCAGTCCTCTGTAGGCCCCTGGCAGTGCTGCTTCTGCCCACCTCCGCTTCTCAGGTGGCCTCAGCCCTGGACAGCTCTGAACTCCTGTGCAGGGCTGGGGCGGAGCCAGGTGGGGTGCAGATGGCGCTGTGTTCCCTGGCGCTCCGGGGTTTCCCAGTGTGAATGCTCGGGGGACCCCACCAAATACTTCCCGTTCATGACTCACAGCACTGAGATAGCGAGCGCTGTGGGGCTTGGGTCCCCTGAGCGCAACTCGCTGACACTTTGCAGAGGAGCCAGTCAATTATTTTGAAGGCACCCTAATTTACTACTTAGACCATGAAGCCTAGTAAAGCAAATGCTTCCAAGAAAAGCATCTCAACAACCAAAAAAATTCAAAAAGAAAAATTGATGATGAAGGAGTGGGGTTGTCAGAGAAGTTGGGAGGCCTTGGGAATGGCAAACGCACACAAAGCGTGTGGGAGAAGTGCCTCTGCCCAGCCCGTCTGACTGGAACAGAGCAGGGCTGCAGGCCTCTCTCCCCACTGGCCTGGCTGCCTGGGGCCAGGCTCCCCCAGCACTGCAGAAATAAGGGGCAGCCAGGGGGTCAGCGCTGCCCTTGGGGATTGTTTCTGTTGACAGACGCACATAAAAAGAAATAAAAATCATCCAAAGTGTCTATCTTCTGACATATTAATCTAAAACCGACGGCGATAGCATCCAGCAAGACAGCAGCCTGGCGGCCTTAGAGAGCCAAGCACACTCGCAGACCATGATGGAAGCAGGTCCAGTAACAGTATTACAGAGAAAACAAGTTCTGCGTCTCTCAGCTGCCTAAGAAAAGGTCGCAACAACTGCAGGAGGTCCTGAAAGCCCCTCCCAAAGCTGAGATACTTAACTAGTGCATCAGCTCTGCTGAAAACCACGCTGCCAGCGAAGAGGCAGAGAAGGGCCAGCCTAGTCACCAAGGGAGAGACAGAAACGGAAGGATCCGTAGCTCCTCTCGGCAGAGCAGAAGGCCCCACCCAGCCTGCCTGTCACTCCCCGGGGGAGGACACAGCGGAGTGAGGGCAGGGGGTCTCAAGCCAGGGCAGTCATGTGGACACAGCGGAAGGCACGAGTGGCCATGAGTACCATTTCCACAGGGAACGCGGAGCTTCTCATCAGAGCTGGTGCCGTGATCCTTTCGTGCTGTGTCAGTTATTTGTGTCTGACATTATACCCAAAATTACAGTTGAAGAGTCAGGCAGCTGTACAGTGCCACTTGAATACACGAAGAACAAGCCCTTAGCAGTGCTGGGGCTCTGTTACACTTAGACGAACATTTTTATGGATTACTAGGTATGGGGCTGGTGCCATTAGCAGATACTAGATTGTGTTGGTCTGAACATAGTATGTGTGCCAACGGATATATGAAGACTGCCATGCAGCATGATCCTTTTCTGGCAGTTACGAGCCGTTTACATTTCTCCGACAGAACCACATGCGGAACCGAGGATCCCTTAAATGCAGAAAAATCAGGAAAGAAATTGCTACTACATTCAAGAATGCAGTAAAACCTGGAAAAAAGACAAGTATAATTTTTAGGGCAAGGACACCTGCATTTCACCAGTACATTAAAGGAAAATGACACAAATACAGGATAAAATTACGTAATTGTTTGCCTGATGGATACACCTGTGATTTACATCTGTGATGGAGAAAGCGCAGACCGGCTTTCATCCTCAGTACGGCGACACTGGTGACGCCCAGCGAGGCAGTGTAGGGACTCAGAGTACAGATGCTCTGACCCCAGCAGTCCCATTCTTGTATTACGTCGTGGAACAGCAGGCTAGGGAATTGTAGCCTAGTGAGAATTACCTTCGTGGGTTTGTTTTGTTTTCCTGCTGAGTCATGTATGAGAGTGAATTTTATTTAATATGCTGGAAAACCCAGTAGCAAACTGATCGTTGTCCTGCGACAGCAGAGGGAGGGAAGCATCCAGGTCAGGCTTGGGGTCCCAGAGCCCCATCAGTCAAAACCAGTGTAATGTGCCAGTGCACAAGGATGAGAGTAAACCCTGAGTCCTGTTTCCGGTGGCTGCCGCAAGGGCTGAGGGGAGATTTTGGAACTGCGGAATGAGAGCTCTAAGGCTGGGGGCCGGGGGCCAGAGGCAGGAGAGAGGGGACCCTGTGTTCCCAGTGAGCTGCCATGCCCAGTGTGGACAGCCCGTGTCACCCCTGTGGCCTTTACTTCCACCTCGAGTGGAGGCTCGTTCAGGCTCTGGCTCCGGGCGAGTAGCGCTGCCTCCGCTGATGTCTGGCCTCTGTCATTCACCGCAGCCGACCCGAGGTGAAGTGGATCACGCACTGCTTAGGTGCAACCTGTGCCCCAGGCCTGTGTGCCAAGCAGCGGACACAGGGAGCTTCCCTCTGAGACGGGGCCCTGAGGGTGCGGCGTAAAGGCAAAATGTACAAAACAAGACACTGCCTGATAATTACTAGACTTCCTCGATGTCTTCTAGGCTTTGGAAAGCATCCTGGCAAGTGACCATTTACCATTTTCCTGCCTTCGAAACATCACTCAGACCGTCTTGGACGTGCTAAGAAGCCAAGGTAACAGAGCCGCACCTCTCCCGTGGGCTGGGCACCTGGAGTTGCTCCAGTGTGGGAATAACCCGGTGTGCTGTGTGTGAGCGCAGAGACAGCGGCCTCCCGGATCTGTGGGCCTTCAGCGCTCTCATGCCCTGAGCTGCCTCTGCACGTGCTGACGCTGTTTCCTGTTTGGAATACTTTGTGTCTCCCCACTGCTGTGACAGAAGATAGCAGTCAGGGTGCTGGGCAGTGGTCATTCTGTGGGCTTAGGCTGACATGAAAGCCGTCCGCGATGGGACAGCTAATGATCATGTGCACAGAGCAGCCGGGTGTCCTTGGTGCCGTTGTCTCTGCCTTCCTTCACGGGCAAAGGCATTTTCTGTGAGGAGTGTCCTGCGAGGTCTCCTGAGCGATCTCGGGATAGAACGTGTTCGTGCTCGGAACTCATCTGTGTTGGGTGTGGTGTCATCCATTTCCCTCACGAACACGGTTAAGACTTCCAGAATCAAAGACCCTAGTTAAACTATTAGTTCTGAGCTGTCTGGTGGATTTTTACTGTTTAAGAATTCTGTTTGAGGCCGGGTGTGGTGGCACACATCTGTAATCCCAGCACTCAGGAGGCTGAGGCAGGAGGCCAGCCTGGGCTACCTAGTGGGTTCAAGGTCAGCCTGAACAACATAGTGAGACACTATCTCAAAAAACAAAAATTGGAGTTTTAACTCCATAGTCTTTGCGTCCAAACTATCAAACTTCAGCTTATTCTGAATTCCTAACATCGGTTAAATTGTAGCATGCAAAGTACTAAATTAATCTACTCGTAAATTTTTGCTTGTCATGTTAATTACATAAAGCCAGCTTTATATTTACTTATATTTTTGTTTAGTTGTATTTAAGGCAGGCTGTGGTGATTTAGTAAATCATAATGTGTTCTTTCAAGACTTCATCACCCTAAGGTTGAGACTCTCGTGACTTTTTGCAGCAGACTTTTGCTAACAGTGAACTCCTTAGTGTGCACAACTTGTTAGAAATACTTCTTTTAAAAAACACAGTTGATGTAGTGAATCCCATCTACTCCGGAGGCTCAGGGAGGAGGATCAAGTTCAAGGCCAGCCTAGGCAGCTCAGAGCCCATCTCAAAATGTTTAAAAAAAAAAAAAAAAAAGGTTGAGGATGTGGCTGGCCTAGCACCAGGAGGCCCTGGGTCCATCCCCAGAGCGAGAAAGCCAGCCAGCCAGCCAGCGCGTCAGGGAGCTGAGTTCAGCCCCTCCCCTGCTGCACAAGCCTGTCGCCTGTGGTCCACAGCAGCCCCTCGGTAAAGTCTGTTTTCTCATCTTTGAAAGAATAAATAAATAAATAGAAAGAATAGTCTACTTATAAAGCCCTCACTCCTCAAAGCTTTAGAAAACATCAAAATATACTAAATGAAATACTGCCTGGCACTGGGGTCCCGCAGTGCTTGTTGAAGTGCTGTAAAATCACCACAGGGCCATAAATGAGTCTGTTGGCCATGTCCCTCCCACGCGTGCCCTGTACCTTCCAGAGCGCGCATCTGTCGACGAAGGGCTGCTGCAGTTCTGTGCCAGTAAACTGAAGCTGCTGCATCTCTACGAGTCCGTCGGGCGGCTCAACTCCCTCGCTCCACGTTCCGACGCACCCTTCTCCGATGATGTGAGTAACCCATCCAGTATTACACACCCCATCGCCTCATTTGTTTGATTTGTAATAAACGAGTAGAAAACTAAGGTTTTCTTAAAGCTTACAGGTGCCTGTTCTTTTTTTTCCTTTTACTTCTATTAGTATGTTTGCAGTCACAGTGATTCCATGCACTGTGGGGATGATACCCGCACCTGACACGTCTCATTTCCCTTCTTTTTCCCGCCTCCACCACTCCTTTTATTTCCCCAGCATCGGACTCAGTTTGTCTACAAACCCTTGTAACGTTACTTACCGCATATACCCATTGGAAAGCAGGCTGACAGGCCAAAGAGCACGCCAGAGCACTGTCCCAGCCAGGGTGCACTTCCACATACCTCCTCCACACTGGCTTATGATGCCTTTTTCTTTCACTTTTTTCCCATTATTTGTCTTTTATTTTGTGCTTTATATATATTTTGAGTGTTTCATATGACAGAAACCATGCAATATTTGAGCTTGTGTGTCTGAGTTAGTTGGCTTACATTAAGGCCTTCAATGTGCATCCATTCTCCTACAGATGACTCAGGCTTATCCTTTTTACGGCAGAGTAGTACTCCATCGTGTAGAAATACCACATTACTTTTATACATTCATCTGTATAGGCTGTTTCCACGATATAGCTATTACAAATTGTGCTGCTGTATATATGGGTATGAAATACATCACTGTGGTGTGGTGTCTTTAACTCATTTGGGAAGACACCTAGCAGGGGAATAGCTGGCTCAGATGGAATTTCTACTTTCAGCTTTTAGAGGACTGTCTACTGTTCCACAGAGGTTGCACCAGTCTACACGCCCACCGACAGTGGAGAAGGGCTCCTTTCTCCACATAGCCCTCCCAGCATTTGTTATTGGTAGATTTCTCGATGGTAGCCATTCTTTCCAGAGTGAGATGCAGTCTCACTGTTGTTTTAATTTGCATTTCTCAAATACCCAGCAGTGTCCAACATGTTCTCATGTATTTATTGGCTGCTTGTGTTTCTTCATCTGAGAAGTGTCTGTTCATCTCAGGTGCCCGTTTTTTAGTAGAGTCTTTAAATTTGGGAGGTCTGATTTTTTCGAGTTCTTGATGTATTCTAGATCAGTGATGGTGAGAGAGCCTTTTAGAGCTCTCAGTGATGACAGGTTTGTTTGATACAGTATTAGTCTTCTGTCTGAGGAGAAGCTGGGAAGAATTTGTTCCCATTCTGCAGGCTGTCTCTTCATTCTGTGGGTGGTTTCCTTTGCTGTCAGAAGCGTTAGCGTGATGTGGTCCCATGTGTTGGTTCTTGGTGTCATTTCTCGTGCAACTGAGGTTTTGCTCGGAAAGCCTTTGCCTGCGCTTACGTCTTCAGGAGCTGTGGGCGGTGTGTTTGTGTGTGTTGTGTACCTGCTCTGCTTTCAGGAGATTCTCCTGCATATGTGTGCCCTGAGCAGTTTACAAGGCTGTCAGGTCGCTCTGTGACTACATCTTTGTATCCCTCAAGAGAGCTACCTGCAGGACTTGCCTGTGGATTCATGATTTCCTGTTTTTCCATGTTTGTTTTATGATATTTATGCTACTTAACATATAAGCATTTAATTTTGAGTACTTCCTTAATTTTACCACAATGACGAGTTACAATGACATCTTTTATTATTTTTTGATTACACAATAATACATGTGTATTAAAATCCTCACAGAAGAATATGGGGTACTTTGAAGAAACTTTCTAAGATGGTACTCTTAATAGCATATAGTTTTTCAAGATTAGTTTATTCAAATAACCTCCTACTTATAAAAGTGTAATTTGAGAGTAAAACTTTTAAGTAGAGTACAGTCTAGCTGTCATGTCCATTTTAAAAAGTGATCTTTTGTTTCCAGCCTTGAGCTTCACTCTGGATAATGAGGCTAAGTGGGTAGATTCGTAGCCGGAGGCCTGGTCTGTTCAGAACACTGTTCTTTCTGTTCCGAAGGACTTGGCTTCGTTACTAAGGCTTGATGAAAAAGAACTGCTGAAGCTCCAGGGATTATTAGAGAAGTATAAGCAAGAGAACACCAGGACTGTGGTCCGATTCTCTGATGACATAGACGGCGCGCTGCCCGTGAAGACGTTCCTGGAATATCTGGAGTACGAGAAGGATGTGCTCAGCATAAAGAAGATAAGCGAGGAGGAGTATGTGGCTCTAGGTGGGTGAAGTCCTCAGCGGTTCTTCACAGCCTCTCTTCTAAAAGCCTAGAGTGTCTCAGGGATGTCATTCTGTTTTGTGATTGAATTAAGCAGCGCGTGAATGTGTGTATTGTGGTCAACACAGGATACTCTGGATATGTATGCACTGTGTCGTATGTGTGGTGTTGCATTGGTAAGTGTACCAAAGAGGCAGTGTTAAGACACGTCATGATTTTCTCTCTGCTTTAATAACTCAAACCATTACTTTCTCTTCTGTTGTTTTGCTCCCCTAGAATTTTACATTGTTGAGGAAGATCATTAGTCCAAAGGGTAATTGGTTCTGGCGAATGTGTCTTATTTTTGTTCTACTAGGCAGTTTCTTCTTCTGGAAGTGTCTGCATGGAGAAAGCTCCACCGAGGACATGTGCCACACTTTGGAGGCTGCTGGACTTAGCCCTCAGCTGCTGTTGGTAAGGTCTTCTCGCTGGGTGCAGTTCTTCCTTGCACCTGGTGTGGAGAAGTGTGAGTGGCTGGAATCCTTGCCTTTTAGCATGTCACAGAACATACATGTGAACGTCTTAGGGAAACAAGGAAGATTGGCATTCACCACATTGAGTAAAATTCTTTTGTTTATTTTTGTTCCCTGTGAATGATAACAAGTACATTCTGTGGTTGACCTAAAATAAATTTGGAATGTGACATGAATGCATTTTCAGTGGACTTTGATCATCATCATAGAACAAAAAAAAGTCTTAGAGAACAGAATAAGCTTTCTTTAGAGCTATCTAGAATTGTGATCTACATTTCTAAACTTTGAACATCTGCTAGGATACAATCTTTATCCCGTAGCAAATGTAAAGCCAAAGAATCATCCAATGAAAAAACTACAGTACTGAATTTTTGCCCTTTTGAGCAAAGCTGGCCAAGTCGCTCCAGCCTCAGTAGTCAGCCAGCACCTGGGCACTCCACTGGCCTCAGCTCGGCCAGGATCCGGGCAGCCTGTGAGCTTGGGGGCTGTGGGAATGCATGGTTTTCATAGAGTATTTAAGTCCTCTAGAAATGGGTTCTGTCCCAGCTCTCGTGAAGTAAACTTGGGTGTCAGGAAGGAAAACGGCTAAAAATGCATGGAGAATTGACACGGGTGGTACGTGGCCAGTGTCCTTCAGAGATAACTCCCTTCTGGGTGTCGGGTGAAAATGATGAACTGCTGGGAAACACAACTGGAGGAAGTAGAAAGAGGCCAACCTTAAGAAGAGGCCCTGCATAGCCGCTCTGCAGAGGCAGTGAGAAGGCCCAGCGCCCTGGAGGGCACTGGTGCTGCAGGGCTGACGTGGGCGGGGAGCAGGGGCTTGTGGGCGGGGCTTGCAGCAGCTTCACCTCTGAGTGGCCGTTAGGACACACAGCTGCCTGGTGGGGAGTGCACAGACCACACACCTCACACACAGGGCACGTATTGCTGGTGAAAGCCACATGCGCCCTGTGGATTTCCAGTGGCCGTGTCTAGCTTTGGATCCCGGGTGCCACATCAACGGGAGGGGCCCGGGGAGGGGCGCATGGGACTCTGCATGTCATGTCGCTGTTGGTGAACCCCTCAAGATGAAAAGTTAGGAAGGTGGGCGGAGAAGCTTGGGAGGGCCGAGCACACTCCTCTTCCAGCTCCCTGTGCTCAGTTGGTGCCGGCTGCATTCCCGTTTCCCATTTTGCAGACACGTAAGTGGCAGTTTCATTGGAGTCCGTGGAGAGGTTTGGTGGTCCTTCCCACAGCTCCAGGCCCCAGGTGTCCCCAGGCATTCCTGTCCTCAATGGGCTTCTTCAGCTCCTTCCCCTTTAACTTTTCCAAATTACAGGAACCGGTGTTTGGATCCAACAGCCTTCTAGTTGAGAGCTTGTTTCACATACATGCACAGCAGTGCTGTCAATAACCCCAGCCTCAGGGCCGGGGATTTAGCTCAGTGGTTCTGGTGCCTGCCTGGAAAGTGCAAGGTCCCGAGTTCGATTCCTGGTACCAAAAAAAAAACAAAACTAAACTAAAAATAACCCCAGCCTCGCACAGGCTCCATTATCAACAGATGCACACTGTGACATCAGAGCCTCTGTTAGCCCAGGGTTAGCTGTGAGCAGATTTTATAAATGGGAAAAACATAACTGAAGGAAGTATGCTGGTCCATGCGCACCTTAAAAGTCACTCGTGTTGGCCTGGCTGCCTTGTCTAGGCTTTTCCTACCTTGTTAGCCATTTACAGTGGGAGTCGGGGCTTCCCTACGCCTGTTCCCCACAGCGAATTGTGAGGCAGCTTTGTAAGGCTGAGCCATGAGCTCCTCCCTGCTGCTCCTGTGAGCAGTGCCACTGAGCTGCCTCCTGGTCCCCAGGCCTCGATCCTGTCCCTCCTGCTCATGTGCTATGCTATCGAGGTTGGGGTCGGAAGGCAGTATGGACGGAAAGCAGGGCAGAAGTGGGTGATGAATCTCAGGTCACCCCCCAAGACATGACGCCACCAGCCACACCAGAAGGCCGAGTGTCCGCATGCGCAAGGGGCTGTCCAGGGAAGTGGGGAGCTTGCCAGGCTGAGCACTGCCTTCCACTGAAGGAGATGTCTCCCGGATTTCAGTCTCTGCTGCTGAGCTTGTGGCTCTCGAAGGAGAAGGATATCTTGGAGAACCCGAGGTCTGTCTGCTGCCTGCACACCATGCTGTCCCTCCTGAGCAAAATGAAAGGTAGGCTGCAGGCTGGGCCCAGGAGGGGAGTGAGCGCAGCGCTGCAGAATGCTGTCGCTGCACAGATTCGCTTCTGCACTCATTAAAGGCTCGGGGTGCGTCCGACATATGCTTTGAGGACTCAATCAGGCTTGTGCCACCATACATTATGATGTGAATGACATATTTCTTGAGCTCAGTAAGGAGAATCGAGGTCTTTGTTGGAGGGAATACTTTCCTTATTTTTAACATCATCTGATAATCGCCTGTATTAAAACGTTAAAGAGTAGTTTTCATGAGTGATGAAAACATTCCGAAGAGGGATTAAGTATTGATTCAGAAACAAGATGACTGACATTGTAAAGAAATGGAATATAAATATCCTGGATAAAGTAGATTGTGAGATTTATTTTGCAGTTTATTCAGAAATATATAGGTACATCTTCAGGAAATTGAATTTTAAAACTGAAAGAGTAGAAAAGATAACCATTCGGGCTCTCGTCGTTCATGTGTCCCTGTCCTGCAGTGGCCATCGACGAGACCTGGGACTCGCAGTCCGTGTCCCCGTGGTGGCAGCAGATGCGCCTGGCCTGCGTTCAGTCTGAAAACAACGGGGCGGCACTGCTGTCGGCACACGTGGGCCACTCGGTTGCGGTGCAGATTTCAAACCAGATGACCGAGAAAAAGGTGAGGGCCGAGGCACAGCTGCGTGCTCCCAGTGGCTTGGGGCGAGGAGGCTGCCAGCACGCTGCAGGTCCTCACGCTGGGCACCTGGGGCCAGGAGATGGGACGTCCGACTGGCACTGACACAGCTGCGTCCTTGCCGAGGGCCGACGCAGGCCACCGCGGCAGGGCTCCTCGTGAGCGTCCGCCCTGGGGTCAGCTGGTGCCCTCCTGCCCCGCAGCTGCAGTGCGCTGGCTGCACCGGTGACCTGCGCCTCCTGTCAGTTTCTGCAGACAGTGGCGGGGGCAGGGGCCGATGCCGAGGCCCTCACGGACTCATGGGAGGCGCTGTCCCTGGACACGGAGCACTGGCGGCTGCTGCTCAGGCAGCTGGAGGACTGCCTGCTCCTGCAGACCCTGCTGCACAGCGGGCCCCGGCGGCCCCAGGCCCCTGCATTGCAGGCCGAGCCGCTGCCCCGGCTCTCGGTGAAGAAGTTGCTGGAAGCCGGGAAGGGTGAGCGGCAGTGTGAGGGCTGAGCCCCGTTTCAGGCTGCGAGGTTTTGTTAGCCCACTCCAACAGCGCGGGTGTCACGAGGGGAGCATGCGTCCCCCCATGGTCCCCCCGTCCCGGCCACCGTGGGGATCGCCCTTCCTCCCTGTCATCGCCCCGGAACTCCGCTCCTCCTGTCTTTCCTTTTCCATTTCTCTAGATTCTTTTTCGAATGGTGCTGTAATTGACGCGTAACCGCTGTACATGTTTATGGGACACGGCAGCGTTTCAGTACACGTGTGAGGAGGCAGGGGCTGCTGCCATCGCCCCAAACGTGACTTCTTCCTATTCGGAGCACTCAGAGGCCGTCCCGGCCATTGTAAAATTAGCACTGCCAGCCATGGCCACTGCTGTGAATCTCGTGGCCTTTCGGGTCCCTGCAGGCCCAAGCTGGAGCATGGTGCTTGAGTTTCTGCAGGGAAACGCACTGGCCTCCTGGTCCATGCGGCCAGCACTGCCACCCATGCCAGAAACTCTTTCTTGTCTCCCCCACAGGTGGCATTGCAGACAGCGTGGCCAAGTGGCTGTTTAAGCAGGACCTGAGCCCTGCCACGCTAACCCTGGCTCATCAGGACGGGGACGGAGATGGGGGAAACCCAGACGAACCCCAAGGAGGTGCTGACAGAGCTTTCCTGCAGGCACCGGAGGCCGAGGCAGATGCAGGCGGCATCCCAGGTGACCGATGACGCAGCCGCGGGCCAGGGGCCGATGCAGCTGTCCTCACTGAGGAGAGCCTGACGCTCCCCTCTGGCTTCCAGACGCGCTGCTCTTGGCCTACAAGCAGTTTCCTTGCAGCCTGGAGCCGGACGTGCTGCATGCACACTGCTGCTGGGAGTACGTGGTCCAGTGGAACAGAGACCCCGAGGTGAGGCCCACCCCACCCTGCCCTGCCCTCCAGGGACAGTGGAGTCGTCTGTCTGAGCGGGGCCTCTCCTGTCCTACTGCCTGTGCCCACCTGTCCCGCCGGTCCCCGTGCGGCAGGCGTGCCGCTCTCTGTCCTGGAGAAGGGAAGCCAGGTTCCCTGCGTGCGCCCACACTGCTCAGTGCAGGAGGGGAGCGCAGCTTCCTCGGACAGCAAGGTGTTTGCCCTGCGCCCTGCTGGGCCGTGAGGGGCACAGTCTCTGTTCCCTTGCGAATTTCCACATGAAACAGCACTTCCTGGCCGGCTGTTCTCAGTGTGGCAGTCATCGTGAGCCTAGGCAGTGCCCCGCTGTGCCAGGCGCCCCCTAGTCTGCGGGCCAGGCCGTGGCTTCTCTCACACTGGTCTCTGAAGTATGTTGGGGCCTCTCGGCTCTGCTCGGCTCCGCTCTCCCTGGACCCACGTGGGCTGTGACGGGGGCCCAGGCCTGGAGCTTGGGCTGGGGTCCCAGGGGACTCCCTGGCCGGCACCTGGTCAGTCTCCGACGCTCTGCCCCGCTTCCTGTGTTAAATGAGGGTGCCAGTCCCGGGGTGGCCGGGACGGAACAGGATGAAGCATGTCTGCGGTGCGCCTCCACCAGTCGGGGCCTCCAGGCTCCCTGGTCAGGGCCCGGTAAATTACTCCTTTTTTTGTTGGTTTTTGCAGTGGTGGGGATCAAACCCAGACTACTGAGCCACGCCCCGGCCTGCTGAATTATTCCTCTCCGCTCAGAACTGTTTCTTTATTGTCTCTGTCGGTGTCCCTTTGTAGAGACTGAGCTGATTAGCTCTGATGTACTAATGGTAGGAATAGCCTCCCCTCTGCCCTCCGAGACCGTGTGTGTTAAATGTAGTCATTCACTTGGTAAAAACGTGAGTGATTTCAGCCGGGGGCGGGCTTCTGACCCGTTAGCATTTTGCCCAGAGTGGTGTGAGGCCAGGGTCCTGGGCCTGGTGGAATTGTCACCAGTGGCATGGAGTGGGAAGTGTTAGAACGAGAGTGAGGATGTGGCAGCCTCTCAGTCCAAGTGGCTCAGTCTCAGACCCACGTGTAGGAAGGTGACAAGAAACACTGCAGTGTGCGTTTCCAAACCACGAGCTGCTGCCACGGGGACACGGTGGCCCCAGGGCCTCCTCTTAGCGGGTGGCGATCATACACGAGGCCGCTGTGGCCTTCGGGGTTGGCTGAGCCGTGTCCCGGCTTCCTCCTGACATGAAGGCTGTACACGCAGTCATCCCGGAAGCACTGCAGTTCACGGAGGAAGAGGGGTGTGTCGCGCCTCCTGTCTGGTGGCCCCCAGAGCCGCCTGCATTGAACTAAGCGGCAGATGGTTTGTCCCACTAAATGCTCATCTCCCTGCCCGTCAGAGCCCTCCCCAGGACGCAGAGTACCCGAGCCCCCTCCCCTCCCTCTTTCTGACCCGCCCGTCCCTCTCTGTCTCCTGCCCACGTGAAGGAAGCGCGTTTCTTCGCAAGGTCAATAGAGCACTTGAAGCACATTGTCAACGCCCACGTCCAGCATGGTGAGTGAGCCCTGTGTCAGTGGGCTGGGGTGGTGGGGTGCTGAGCCCTGGCTCTTTCAGCTTCTTGGGAAAGTGCTGCCCAGAAGACAGTGCCAGGAGGATCGTCACCTTCTGTCCCCCGCTGCAGGCTCGTTGACGCTGCCTCATTGCCAACTATGAGAAGTTTTCATTTTAATGTCACACCTCAGTGAATGTGCAATTACAAAACCCGATTTTTGGTTTCTTAAAAATATTTTTATATTTCATTTTATTTTTTAATATTTTCTCATTCGTCACTTTAGTTGCTTGTTTCTAGTGTTTGGACAGTGTTGAGCTGTTCTCAGAGATCTTCCCTGCACCTTCGGAACTCCGCTCTTTCAGACACAGGCCCGGCACTGCTGGTGCTGGGTCAGTGCAGACCACCTCCGCCAGGCCTGCTGCCCTTGCAGCCGCGCAGTTGTGTGCTCTGCCTGGCTCCTGCGCTGCCCTTGACAGCCGGCAGCCTTCCTGCTGGCCGGGCCGTGCTTTTCTACTTGATGGTGTGAGCGTTCTTACGCTCCGGGCTGTGTCCACCTGCTCTTCTGCAGCTCGCTGCCACTCTCACGGATTTCATTCAGTTTGCAGACACTGTATAAGATCTAAGGAAAGAACCTAAGCCAGTGGGGCGTCGGGTTTCGGGCTGAGGACCAGCCGCCCCACTTGCTTGCTCCCCAGGCATCGCACTCATGATGTGGAACACGTTCCTGGTGAAGAGGTTTTCTGCGGCCGCGTACTTGATGGATAAGGTAGGGCCCTCACCTGAGGGGAGCAGAGGGTTCAGGCTTGGAGCCTGCCCGCCAGAGGCAGTGGTGGGGCCGGGCCGGGGTGGCGGGCAGGAGGGGCCTGGGCTGGGGGGCTGTGCTCGGTCGGACTGAAGAGCTGCGAGGCCCCGCGGGAGCCGGGTAGAGCGGCCGTCTGTGCCCTCGCCTCCTGACGACACCGCCTTTGCGTCACGTGCCCTCAGCGAGCGAGGCCCCAGGTGCTGTCACTGGCCATCTTGAATTTGCCTCTGGGTTTGTAAGGTGACACGGTTTGACTGTTCAAAGTGAAGGCCAGATTGTTCAGAGTTTTTTCTTCATAGTTCAGAAATACACAGGTTTTTGTGGGTGTTTTTGGTACTGGGGATCGAACTTGGAACCTCACACTTGTGAGGCAGGCGGCGGCACCACTGAGCTAAATCCCCAGCCCTGCAGTTTATTTTTGAAGAGGATTATTTGTGAGTTCATTTTTAAGTTCCACCAAAAACCTAATGGTGTCACCGTTACAGAACCATGTTAATAAGGGAAGGTGGCCGCGTTTATTTAAGGCTGCATGGATAGTTTTTCAAGCTGGTTATTACTCCTCTTTCCTGTACCCTTTAAATGAGACCCTGACTACTACAGCACCTTGTTTCCTTTCACCACAGGTTGGCAAATCGCCGAAGGATAGATTGTGCCGAAGGGTGAGTCTCTCTCAACTTGAGGTGCAGTTGCTAACCCTGCACTTTTCCCTGGTGCCTTATTAACTAATCTTAACGGTGAACTTTGTCTTTCACCAGTCTGCTGATGGGTCAGGAGATAAGAGAAACGGAAAGAGAGAGCTATTTGAAGGAAACTGGCCATACCTGTGCCCCGTTTGCTCCACCTTTGCAGGCTGTAGACAGCGAGCCCGCACCAGGTTTCACAGGAGGTGTGCACCTCTGGCCGGCCAGGAAGGCAGCCAGCTGCCACCGTATCAGAAGTGAGCAGAGAAGCACCAGGCTGAGGCCGCTCCTCCGTAGTAACCACTGTGCAGATGCAGCGCTGCCTTCGAGGGGGCCTGGGGCCATGAGCAGCAGTGCTCGCCTCTGCTCACAGCTCTGATGTGATCAGTCACAAACCTCCTGAGAAATGCTCAGGTGCAGATTCAGCTGTCAGAGGCCCTTGGTCTTAAAAGGTCACCGTTCTGGAGAATTGACTGGCCTGTTGTGGGGAGCATTTCGTGTTGCACGCACGTGCCCACGCAGGCCCCTCTCTGATTTCTGTATGGGGATGCAAGGAATACAGCTCCTTGGTCTTGCAAAGCTGACCTGCAGCACGGTGGCCCCAGGACAGGCTCATTGGAGGGAGCAGTCAGCGTGAATCTGGTCCTTAGTTCTCAAGCTGGAAATTCTTGGTTTGTTTAAAGCGTTCAGTTGACTACCTAGAAACCAGACCAGGCCGTTTTCTCAGAACTTGTAGGCTGGTCGGTCGTGTGTGTCTTCCCGTGGTTCCTTGACTAGCAAAAGCCTTACGGCAGCGTGAACGATCTCTCTCGTCAGTGTACAAAAAACATTCATTTTTGCTTATTATTTGGGGGGAGGTCTGGGGGCTGAACCCAGGGTCGCATGTGGGCAGAGCACATGCACTCCCACTGAGCTACACAGCATACGCTCAGAACGGTCTTTGTCTTTCCTGGTGTTTTGAGCAGGGTCTTGCTAAGTAGCCCAGAATGGCCTCGAGCTCATGTGATCCTCCCACCTCAGCATGCACCATCATACCCAGCTTAGAACATTTCTTTTTGAAAGTGGATAGTACCACTTTTTTAAAACCTGCTTTTCAGGTTGGTTGATTCTGTGCTAAAGGAAGGAGGTGAGATACGCAGGTGCCCTGACCCAAGAGCAGGCAGTCAGTGGCAGTGGTACGCCTGTTCAGTAGGCGGCGGCTGCCGCATGGGCTGATAGAGTCCTTGTCACGCAGGACGTGGGCATGAGCGACACAGCGCTGACCTCCTTCCTGGGCTGCTGCGTGGACCTCCTGCAGACCCTGATGGAGGTACCGGCTCCTTCCTGGGCCTGCGGCCGGGCTGTCCCGGGCGCGCATGGCCCTGACGCAGCCTCTGGGGCCCGCAGGCCGACGTGGGCAGGGACGAGATGCCGGCGCCCGTGCTGGACACCGAGGACACGTGGCTGTCGGCGGAGGGGCCTGCGTCCATCGCGGAGCTGGCGCTGGAGCAGAAGCCGGTGCACTACCCGCTGGTGCAGCACCACTCGGTGCTGGGGGCCGTGCTCTACGCAATGGCGCGCTTCGCCCTCAGGGCTGTCAGGCCGCTCTCGCTCTTCGACAGCAAGGTGCGCGCTGCTGGGCCGAGGGCTCTGGGCTCGCTGAGGAGCGGCGCGGCGCCGCGCCCCTGATGGCGGGCTCTGGCCTGGCCGCTGCTGGGAGTGGGCGGGGCTCGGCGGCTCCGCCCCACAGCCGGCCCTGCGCCCGCCCTGCGCCGTTTTGTCCTCTGTGGCCGACCGTTGGGATGGTCGAAGCCTCTCAGCAGGTGTTTGTAAGGGCTCAGGGCTCAAGGCTCGGGCTTGGGCGTGGGCGCCTGTGGTCTGAACTCGCAGGGCCGTGGCGCCGGCCTGGCCACCGGCAGGTCACCTCTCGGGTCACCTCCGGGCAGCGGCGGCCTTGAGCCCGAGCCACAGACCTTTTGTACCCAGCCTCGGTAGTGGCATGTCACCTTTGCCTGGGTGACGGCCCACAGCCCAGGGGAGGGGACCTTGGGCCGTGCGAGGCTGCCTGCCACCACCGGGCGACTCGCCCACGTGTGATGGATGCGTTTCACAGTCTCATGGAGGAGAAAGTGAAAACCAGCCATGGCCCAGTCACGGTGCAACGGTGTCGTCTTTCAGATCTTGCCTTTTTCTCCCTGGATCCATACTGAGCACTTCTCTTCATCTCTTTTCTTTAGGGAAAAAATGCATTTTTCAAAGACCTAACCTCAATCCAGTTATTACCTAGTGGGGACATGGACCCAAACTTACTTTCCGTCCGACAGCAGGTAAACTCTAGTTTCTGGATTCCATCCTTGAGGCTTTGAGGGCTCCTTAACACCGCTGCCAGCTTCTCGGAGGTCACGTGTGCTTGTTCTGACAGCAAAGACAGCTGTACGGGAAACGCGGTCGGACTGGAAAGGCCAGGGTCCTCTGTTAGGTAGTTTAGGGAAACACCGATGAGGCCTCACGCTGTCTTGTTTCCAGTTCCTGCTGAAAGTCGTCAGTGCTGCCGTCCAGGCCCAGCATTCCGCCCCCAAGGACAGGGCGCCCTCAGCAGAGGCAGCGGCCACTCCTCCTGAGGAGGACCGGGACTGGCCGGCCCTGGCCGTGGACTTAGCTCAGCACCTGCAGGTCAGCGAGGACGTGGTCAGAAGGCACTACGTGGGGGAGCTCTACAGCCACGGCGTCGACCACTTGGGGGAAGAGGTAATGCCCCTCCCTCGAGTTTGGCCCGGCCCAGCCAGCAGGGCGCCAGCCAGGCCAGCGGGGCCGCGGGAAAGAGGAGCCGGACTCGGGGGCTGGGGTGCGTTTGAGCCCAGTCCCCCAGGGGAGGAGGGTGCTTGCCGTGCACAGGACCTAGGGACAGTGAGGCGGCTGCACTGCGGGCAGCAGCCTCAGCCCAGGCTCGCCTCCCGCCTCAGCCTCAGGTCCTCTCCGGGGGCAGCCTGCCGAGAGCCAAGGGAAGCCCTTCCTCTGAGGCGCTAGGTGACAGGGCCCTCGCTGCACCCCTTTCCCCGTGTGATCGGGCTCACCTCGTCCTCCGTCCCCCTCAGGCCATCCTGCAGGTGCATGACAAAGAGGTCCTGGCCTCCCAGCTGCTGATGCTGACCGGGCAGAGGCTGGCGCACGCACTGCTGCACACGCAGACCCGGGAGGGCATGGAGCTGCTGGCCCGGCTGCCGCCCACGCTGTGCACGTGGCTCAAGGCCATGGTGAGGACACAGTGGCGGTGGGCGGGCGCGCACGGGGCCGCCCCCTGGCTGGCCATAACTGGGCGTCCGTGTCCCTCCCGCAGAATCCCCAGGACCTGCAGAACGCAGACGTGCCCATCGCTGCCACGGCCAGACTGGTGCACAGGGTCCTGGAGCTCCTGCCAGCGCAGCATGGGCAGTACGGCCTGGCCCTGCACCTCATCGAGGCCGTGGAAGCCGTGGCGCTGCCCCGGTGCTGACGGCCGCCCTGCGCAGCTGGCGTGTCCCGTGTTCACACAGCAGACCCGGGATTTTACGGACTAGGTCCTTTTTTATAAGATAAAAATATATATCACTTTTTAAAAGTTCAATCCTAGCAAAATTCCACACCTATGGTTGATACTGAAGGTGAACTATAAACAAATATTATAATACAGATGTTTTACTGTTTATTTTTAATTCAAAGTCAAGTAGCTTGTTAAATTTTGCCATTTAAAACTGGCTATGGCGATGACTATGACTCACAGGTGTTCACTGTCAGATTCTCTCTCACGTCCAGATGTCACTGCTGCACCTAAACTCAGGTGTCTGTACACTCGCCATCACCCGCTCTCCCTCCCTGCAGAAGTCTGAGGACCGGGTCACCTGCTTCACCTGGCCCTGTCCTGGAGCCGTGTGGCCGTCAGAGGACAGGGCTGGAGGTCATCAAAGGGAGCCAGGTGGAAGCCTGAATCCATGTGCCAAAACAGGTCTGAGATGCAATCAACCAACCAGCAGTCACAGTGTAAATTTTGTTTTTGCAAAGCTGTATCCACATGGGCTAATTGTAAAAATGTATTATCTTGTAAAACTATTACGTAAAAAAAGACAAAGACAGTGAAAGTTTTAAGTCAACTTTTATTTTTCCTGGTGTTCCGTGTGTCTGCTTCCAGGCCTCGGTAAGGTCCACCCGTCCCCGGGAAAGGACAGACATAGGCCCGGGGTGTCCCAGCGTCGGCAGAACCGCCTCGGCTGGGCAAGCCCTGCCCCAGCGCCTGCCGCCGGCCCGGCTCCCTGCTCGGTGCTTCCCGCTCCCCCGCAGGCTGAGGCTGAGAAGGTCCTCCTGGGCCTGCCTTAGGAAGGGTCTGGGGTTGAGGTCACAGCCAGGTGAGAGCTTCGCGGGCTGCACCCGCTCACAAATTTCACCTTCGGACTCAGAGCTCGAGCCCCAGCTCTCCCGGCAAAGGCAGAGGCGTGGGTCCTGGGGGCTCAGCGCCTCCTCTTCTCAGAGTGGGCCGAACTAAGGCGAGCGGAGCGCGTGGCTGCAGGCATTGTAAGCACTGCCCTGCCTCACGCCCGTGTTCGCTGGGGTTCGCTTGGGAGCTCCCACTGATAAAACTGCTCAGGACTCAGGTACAGCCGCGTGTCAGGCCCGGGTGGCTGAACGCAGGGAGCTGAAGCGCTCAAGGCCCTAACGCGAGTGTCGGTCTCCGCGTCCTCCGGAGCTCAGCGCTCAGACTCACATTGCAGCCTTACGGCTAAGAAGGGCAGTTCAATGTTTTGCTATTTCACTGAGGCCTTTTAAACGCTGCTGCTGGGTTTCCTTCCCAAGTGCAGCGCTGCAGGCCTGAGCTAGACAGAGCCACCCGCCCTCCCTGCCTCCCCTGTGGCGGGCAGGGATTCGAACTGGAGGCCAGAGTCGGCACCGGGCTTCATGCTTGATTCTTGCAAAAGGAAGCGGTTTCGCTTTTGTTATAAGAACCCAGCTAAGATCACGGCAGACAAATTAAAACTGCTCTTTTAAGAAATACGATTAAGTGCAGTTTAAACACAGAAACGAAATTGCGGCCACCCTGAGCTGAGCCAGGCTTCGACCGGCCTCCGCCCGAGACCCGAGTGCGTGGGCTGCGTAAGGGCGCAGTCTGCCAGTCTGCCCCCTGCCATGAGCCGCGCCTCTGCCCACCACTGTGCGCGAGGGGACCTGGGACCTGGGACCTGGGACCCGGGACCCGGGACCCGGGCCCCAGCCCCCGCCCCTCCGTTCCTGGCGCTTCCCGTCCAGCCCACCGCCCGCCCGCCGTAGCCACAGGTTGCACCAGCCGCAGCCGTTCAGAAGCCTTTATTACACGGCAGGCAGCACTGAAGACCGAGTCAAAGGGTTCTCACAAAACAGACCCGCCTCTGCTCGGCCCACCTGAAGCACGGGCGCGCGCACTTACAATTATGCGCTTCCGGCGGCCACTTCCATATTCTACCGCGTTTGGCTCTTCTTGAGACAGTCTCTGCGGCCGGCCGACTAGTGCTGACCTGCGGTCCTCCCGCCTCGGCCTCCCCAGGCTGTGCTGAAGGCGTGCAGCTCCGCCCCGTCCCTTCCGTGCTGTGACCCTGTGACTGGCCCTAGCCTAGCCCGGGGTGGGGGGCGGGCCCCGCCGCTACGCCCCGCCCACCACCCCCGCACAGCGCGGGCAGAGTGCGCCCGCCAACTCGGCCGTGTGCCTCCAGCAGCGCGGGCACTTCTCCTTGGTGGCCCGTGTGACGAGCACTTTGTACGAGCACTCCTCCCGAATGTCGCCACCTGGGAACAGACGCAGCGCGTGACTCCGCCCCTGGGCGCTGCCCCACGCAGCTGGGACGGGGCGGGGCGGGGCGGGGCGCTCAGCAGGGCCGGCGGGTGGTGACCCGGAAACCAGGTGCGTGCGGGCCGTGCCGAGCCCAGACCCAGACCGCCGCCGCCGGACCCCCGACTCAGGACCCGGCCGGGAGGGGAGCGGGGCCAGCCCTCGGGAGAAGCTCCCACCCCCGGGTCCGACCACCCCGAGGGAGCCACTCAGGTCAGCTGGGGGGCGGGGGCACGGCAGTCGCAGCCCTGGGGCACCCGGGGGCCGCTTCGGACGTCAGAGTCGGGCACGGGGAGCCAAGGGCGAGGCAGCAGCTGGCCGCCTCTGGGCCCAGCGCACCAGCAGCCGCGCGGTCTCGCTCACGCTCTCGCTCACCTTCCAGGTCGATGAGGAAGGTCCCCGCGAGCTCGGTCACGTCCGCCGGCCTCTGCCGCGGCTCCTGGGCCAGCAGCGTACACTGCGAGGCCATCGTGAGCTCGCTCAACTGCGAGGCGCTGGATGTCTCCTCGGCCTGCAGCATCTGCGAGCGAGCGAGCCAGGGCAGCGCGGTCAGGACGCGAGGCCCGGCTGGGGTTCACGGCTCGGTGGGGAGCGAGGTGCCGCCCAGGTCCTGTTTCGCCCGGACCGTGGCCGGCGCTACAGCTTCGGTGGCGGAGCGGCCCTGGGCACCGTTCCGCACTCCGCTTCCTCTTCCTGCGGGCCAGCGAAGGCATGCACGGGTCGGGTCGGGGTCCGGGAGCTGAAACCCTGAGGCAGCGTCGCCTCCGCAGCAGTGAGCACAGGGCGCCTCGGGCCGGCCTGCACCAGGACACGGGCCCAGCCCGGACGCTGTGGTCTGAACGGCAGCACCCCGGGCATCTCACACTTCCCAATTCTCACTGCAGTTTCACCTCCCACACGAGCCCATGAGCTAAAACAAACACTCCCTAGAGAAACAGAAACTGCCTACTACTGCCATCTTCCAATCTTTTTTTTTTTTTTTTTTTGCCAGTGCCGGAGATCAAACTCAGGACCTTGCGTTTGTGAGGCAGCAGTGGTGCCACTAAGCCACATCCCCTGCTACCGTTTTAAACTCAGCTCACCAACCAAAATGAGGTGGTTGCTTCCTCAGAAAACCACTGCTCTGCTCCGGAGAGGTCTCCAGGCGATGAGCTGCCAGCCTGTCTGGCCACCCGGCCCCAGCAGCCCGTGCAGAGGCTGCAGCCACGCACACTGAAGGCCCAGGCCAGGCCGTGAGACCTGCCGCAGGGGACCGTCGCTTCCCTCTAAGCAGCCCAAGGTTCTCAGCTCCAGGGAGCTGCACTACAGCGTCCCTGTTCCTGTCCTGTCCCTGTGAAGTAAGGGTGTGGAACAGGCCATGGCAAAGACCAGCAAGGACACACGGATGCAGGAGCCAGAACCAGACATACATCAGGACGAGACTGAACTCCTATGTCTACATTAACAAGAAAGTTTACTACCTGGGTGTGGGGGCACACACCTGTAGTCCCAGCCCTCGGGAGGCTGAGGCAGGAGGAGCACAAGTTCTAGTCTAGCCTGGGAAACTTAAAAACTTATCGAATCTTTCTCACAATTAAAAAGAGGCTAGGAAGGGCTGGGGATTTAGCTCAGTGGTTCTGATGCCTGCCTCACAAGCACAAGGTCCTGAGTTCGATCCCCAGTACCAACAACAACAAAAAAACTCGACTCCAAGTGGAGCTGCAGGGTGTTTGCAGCAGGTCAAAGGCACAGGCTGCTTCGTACCTCGATGATCTCAAAGAGCAGGCCGGGCTCGATCACAATGGTGACCTCGTACTCAGCAGCATTTCTGCCCGGGATGCTTCCGAGGAACGAGTCCCGCATTGCACATGCGCTCTCCACCGCCTCCTCCAGCCCAGGCTTCTTCCAGATGGAGCTGGTGCTGATCCAGCCTGTGCGGAAAACACTCTTGGGCTCTGCAAGACAAAAGGTGAACAGACGCACGTTTACCCTCAACTGCTGCCAAGCTCTGGCCACCCCAGGGAACCCGGGATGGTGCTGTATGAGAACCGAGGGCTGGGTAAGGCCACAGGCCAGGGCTTCCCGGCAGAGGAGACCCCAGCCCGGAGGGCTGTCTGGGCAGGGCTCTGAGTAACTCCGACTCCCTCTTTTTCCAAACAGTCCCTCGTGGTGCAGAGTCAAGGGGAAGACCTCTCACCCCCGAAGGCACTGTACACTTCAGTGAGCCCTGAGACGTACGTGTGTGAACACATGTGAGAAAAAGTGACTTCTTATAGCACCAAGCTTCGACACATTTCCGCAGGCAGCAGAGTTGGCACAGAGCCACTGTCCCACCTGCAGCACGCACAGCAGACAAGAGGTGAGCGAGCCCGAGTCCCGAGCCTCACCTGTGCCATAGGGCAGGTGTTGGAACACTTCCTCGGCCAGGTGCGGCAGGATCGGCGCGAAGGCCCGAACCAGCACATCCAGGATCTGGGCCAGCGCCGTCTGGCAGGAGCGGCGCTTGGGGTCGTCCTCCTTCTCGCAGTAGAGGCTGGGAGAGAGCACTGGACTCAGCAGCCCCTCGCCGTGTGCTTCACCCACACGGCCGACTTGAGTCCTGGGCTCCTCGGGTCTCCAGTGGGAGACGCGCTCGCTCACAGGTGTGGCATCTGAGAAGCGCCCCAGTGTGCCCCAGCTGTCCTGTGCTGTGCTGTGTGGTTGGGCGTGCAGGATCCGCCCAGTGCGCCCCTCCCTGCGGCCCCTCAGGGAGCCGGGGCATGCGCTGACCGGGCGGTCACCAGGGGCCAGGAGCACCCGCCCAGGCGCAGCATTCAGCCCTCTCTCTACCAAGGGGACAGCCGCACTGAGAGTGGCCGTGTGCCGCCCCTTGTCCCACCCCTGGGGTCTGTGACCCTGGGACCGGCCCTCTGTCCATCACCCACCGTCACACAGCACACCAGGACGGCCGCTCCTGTCGCTCTGTCCCTCAGACCCACACTAGGGGCGGGCATGGCAGCCCCCTCCGGCCTACTGCAACCTCCCAGCCACCGAGCAAGCAGAGGCAGGGCACCTCGAAGTGGCTTCCCTCCCGGCCCAACTGCTGCCAGCCTGGAGAGGGCACTCAGCTCCCGAGGGCTCAGACCAAGCCTTACACACCGATCCTTGATGATGCTGAAGTAAAAGTTGGAGAGCTCCCGAGTGTAAAACGCCTGTAACAGTCGGACAACTTTCCCAAAATCATACTGTTTGTAGGCGTCGGTGACCTGCAGAACAAAGTCAAAGTAAGTCTGGAAGCCCAGTAGCAAGTGAAAAGGGAACAGGCATGCGGCCGCAGACACTTCTGATTCGTGCTTATCTCCCATGCAGAACAGACTTTTCTACCCTAGGAGCTACAAAGGAACACGACCAAGCAGAGGATCATGGTTTGGGTTTCTGCAGTACAGGCCAGGCAAGTGCTCTGCTGTCCCATGAGTGACACCCAGCCCTCCAACTTACATAATAAAAATCACACCATTTTGGGTTTGAGTCTTGCTTCACAGCCCAGGCTGGCCTGCAACATGCAGTGATCCTCCTGCCTCAGCCTCCTGTGTGCTAGGACTACAAGCATGTGCCACACCTGGCCTAAAATCACACCACTTTTAAAACAGCACAGTGAGGGTTACCAACAATCCACTCATGTGCACTCGTTTTTTTGGTTGTTTTGTGGGGTTTTTTTGGTACCAGGGATCGAACTCAGGTTCTTGTGCTTGCAAGGCAGGTGGTGGAACCACTGAGCTAAATCCCCAGCCCTCACTCATTTTTCTGATTTGCGCAAAACCTGACGTGCGTGCCCTGACCAGTACACCGAGGCAAACACGAAGACACCAACTACTTGTGTGTCTGCACAGCAGCAGGCTCTGCGGAGGCCAGGGGGAGCCGTTGCAGTGACTTCCCTTTACTGAGGCTCCGTCCCGTCCACAGACGCCCTCCCACTGTGGGAAGGGCCGACCGGCGAAGTGTGGCCTGAGGACCAGGCCTCCGCTCCCCAGCTCCTCCGTGCACTGTGAGTCGGGAGTGCACCGCTCCCCACTCGGCCACAGGGACTCTCCAGTGAGGCCTGTTTCTCTCGGATGAAACACGCTCGGCGGCCCATCAGCCCGCTCCACACCCACCTTGCTCGCTAAGCCCTGCAGCAGGTGCAGCATGTACTGGTCGATGAGGTACATGCTGTCCACAGGCACGGAGTCTGTCTCCGGGGTGAAGCCAGCCACGTTTCCCAAGAGAAAGCGGAGTGTATTCCTAAGCTGTTCCCAAGGAGGGAAAAGGGTGCAGTTAAAAACCATCAGAAAATCACTTTACAGCTCTCTAATTCCCATCCAACATCTGTTGCTCTTAGTGCGTGTCCTTTATTATCTCATTCCTAAATAAGATAATAATGCACAATCTTGTTCTCCCAGCTCAGCTGTAGAAACAACCACTGATTTCAAGCTACAGACTAAATTTTCATTGTTTTTCTTTTTTTTTTTTTTGTACTGGGGATCGAACTCAGGACCTTGCGCTTGCGAGGCAGGCGGCAGAACCGCTGAGCTACGCCCCGGCCCTTTGTTGTTTCTTTATAACCTTACATAAACCACCTCTCAATCGGCTCATCATTTGTGCAGGGCAAAGATGTTATTTTATTTTACTCACGGGTGAAAATAAAGATACACAGAACAAATGTGAAGTCACTGAGTACATGGAAAACACGTAAGTTACTGTAGTTTCACATCAGACTGAACTGTATCTCATGTGACGACAAACGTAAAGGCATTCTCTAGAGTTCTCGCATCACTGCTGTCTGGGCAGACTGACAGTGTTACGCTCACAGCACACGCTCCTTTCCACTCACGCAGCAGCCCGAGCCTGTCCCACGCCCTGAGGGAAGGCTCGCTGGCGCTGACCTTGTTGATGTCGTCCCTGGCTGCGCTCAGTGCAGAGGGCCCGAGGGTCACTTCCGTGAAGATGTTGGATGCGGCCACCCACCAGCGAAGGACATCCACCCCATATGGAGGCTCCGCAATCTGATCCTTCACGTGGGGAAGCAGGAAGCAGAGGGATCGGGTTTGGCTTCCGGGCACCACTTCCGGGAAGCCCACTGAGAAATGTCAGGGCCCAGGGACAGCGCGGCCACCCTCTGCGGAGCAGACGGGGATGCTGCGGGTCATGGCCCCTTGCCTCCTGGATACACACAGGGTGGGGGACAGCTCCACCTGCCCTTTCCCTGTCCCCAGCACCCACACACGCAGAGCAGCACGGGACAGGACAACACGGAGAGGGACAGGGAAGAGCCCAGTGGGAGTCAGACATGGCAACTCCACGCCACCCCAAATGACCAGCACTCCAGACCCCAAAGCCACCCTGGCCCTAAGCTCAACGTGGACGATTGCTGAGCTCTGACAGCGCACCACACATGCGGAAGGTACACTCACGCGCTTTCCTGACAAGACTCCCACGGACCTGGGAAATCAGTTTTCACTTCCCAACAGCTCAGGGACCTAAGACAGTGGGGTCCAGACCTTGCCGGAGACACCGACTGGAATGGGTCAAAACGACCACAACCTTTCTCATGAGAATCTTGGACTGTGTGAGCACTTAGATTTAAAACACGGGAAAGCACTCCATCCGTTTTTATTTGGGGAGACAGGGTCTCACTGTGTTGCCCAAGCTGGCCCTGAACTCCCAGGCTCCAGCATCCTGCCTCAGCCTCCTGAGGAGCTAGCACTAGAGGCGGGCACCATCGTCTATGAATATAAGACATGCTGTGTTTTTTGCTTGTATTTTTACACTAAAGTTACTGTATTAAGGAGTTCAGGGGCTGGGAATGTAGCCCAGCCGCACCATGCCTACCTCCCTGAACTCCTGGCATCAGAAAAAACAAACAAAAAAGTGTAAGCAGACAAAGAGTTTGGGCTGCCAATGCAGGAGCCTTAGAATGAAACTGAAAGGAACTGTAGGGCAATACCTACTTGTCCCCCACTGATGATGACATCGGGGTCCAGGACATTGCCGAGGGACTTGGACATCTTCTCTCCCTTTTCTCCAAGGGTAAAGCCATGAACCATGACTGTCCTGAGGAGACAAGTCAGCGTCTCAGTGACGAGTACAGCATAATGAGCTCCTGGCAGATGACAGCTTAAAAGGCCACCTGAGCCCAGCCCACGGAAAGCGGCCGAGCCCTCTGCAGGCCCAACGTGAAGGCTCCCCCGGAGGGGCCCAGCAGGCTTCCACCCAGCCCTGTGGCTGACTCCGCTCATGAGCAGCCTCTCCTGGCCTTCTCCTGTGCTCTGATCCTTTACGTTTTTCGACCTTGGACCTCATCGTGCTGGACAAGGGCGCTCCCACAGGGTCCATCCAGCCCCGAGAGGCCCTGACTCTCCCCCTAAATGTGCAGAGGAAGTGTGGCCGTAAAGGAGCTGTGTCCCCTCAGAGCCACCCTGATTCAGAGACAGCTTGAGAAAAAGTGCCCGCTGCTCTGCTGGTTTCTAAATATTGTTCCTAAAAAACAAACACATGGCAGGGTATGACAGGACATGCCTGTACAATCCAGCACTCTGGCAGGATGAGCCAGGAGGGTCACAAGTTCGAGCCCAGCCTTGGAAATGTAGCAACTTAGTGAGACTGTGCCTCAAAATTTTAAAAATATTTTAAAGGCCGGGCATGGAGCTCAGTGTGAAAGCCCTGGGTTCGATCTCTAGTACTGCCAAAACCAAACACGTTGTGTTCTGCTCAGACAACAACAATAGTAAGCTATTTCGGGATCTAACTGAAGTTCTGCCACCAGCCTGAGTAAGGAAAGCAGCTGTGTGTCCTAAGCAAGAGCCGCTAGTGAGGTCAGGTCTTGGTCCCTCACGAGGCCTGTCCTGGGCACAGAGGCCCCATGTAAACACACAGGCTGCCCACTGCTCTGCCCGCGCCCCGTTCCTTCCGGGTCTCATGGGCAGGGTGACCAGCGCCGCTGTGCTGCTACCATGTATTTTCCTAAATTCCTATTTGTCCACTGCGACAGGAGACTGGACCGCCAGATCATACTGACATGCGTGTGTGCCAGTGTGTGTCTGTATAAAAGGCAACACGGCACGGGCCACATGGATCAGCGGGCAGTTCCACCACCTCTTGCACATTAGACTCATGAAGCTCCTCGCTGGGCTGCATGCCCTCTTGTTCATCAAGGAGGGGCTTCTTACCACACTGCAGGGCAGTGGCTGCGCCTTCCCTGCAGACAGGGCCTCGGCGCTGCAAGCCACAGAGGCTGCAGGGCATGTGCACGCGTGTGTGCGGGAAACCCTCTGAGCCGAGGTGGAGGCCGGCCAATTAATCAGGGTGCTGGACGGCAGAGCTCTGTCCGTCAGCTGCACACACACAGTGAGCGCTGCCCCTCTGGTGCACAGCTGTCACACCCGAGACAGCCCACTGCCAGAGACTCGAACTCTGTGCAGCTGGACACAGCACTACTGGGTTTGGAGAATGAGCAGCAGCGTGAGCAGCGGCGGCGCCGGCCACAGTGCACTCGCCTGAACGGGGCCTTCTTCCTGGCTGCGATGCTCGTCAGCAGGGACGACTGGAACCAGCCGCCCAGCTGGTCCCTGCCTTCCAGGTACAGGTCTGCTCTCTGCTCGGCACCTGGAAAGGAGAACCACAGAGCACACGTCCTGTTAATCAAAGCCAGCCACGGCCACAGACAGGCGCCACGTGTTCATCTCACACGTCCCCAGCTGCCTCCCGAGCTGTCCCAGGACGAGCTCGGTCCCAGGGCTCAGGTGAGCGGAGCTCGGTCTTGGTGAGGGGCGAGGAGCTGCGGTGGAACGGTGAGCGCTGCCCCCAGGTACATCCATGATGCCTGACATCTGGATGATGACGCCTAGCAACCCGCTGAGCACCACCGACCCTGAAGGCTCTGAGCAGCGGCAGAGGGTATGAGGAGACAGCTGCGGCTAAGCCCCAACCAGAGTGGGCACCCGGCCACGGGGACGTGGGCGAGCACTCGCCACCAGGCAGCCCGGCCGCTCCAATGCACTGTCTCCTCCATTACTTAGAAAAGGCTTACAAGGGTCAAGGATCAACCTCCAATTTCACGACTCAGTCAAAAAGGACAAACTAAAAGAACAGTATGAGCCAAGCACTGCGGCACACGCCTATAATCCCAGCATTCTGGGAGGCTCAGGCAGGAGCATCAAGAGTTCCAGCCCACCCTGGGCAACTAGAGACCCTACCTCAAAATTTTTTAAAAAATGGATGGGGATGCAGCTCAGTGCAAAGGCCCTGGCTTTGATCCCTACTATAAAACAATACACTAAAATGAAATAAGTAAGTTAAAATTAATTTAACTTAAAAATCCTTTCCAGGAAGTTGGTGTCAAATCACACTCCCACTGACAGTGTACAGCAGGGAGGAATGGTCTTTTTTTTTTTTTCCTGCTTCTTTTCCTTTTTAATTTTAATCCTTTTTCCTTCCTGAATAACCTTTTTTTTTTTTGGTTCCGGGGATAGAACTCGGGACCTTGCACTTGCAAGGCAGGCAGCGGAACCACTGAGGTAAATCCCTGGCCCTTGACTAGACCTTTTAATGAAAGGAGAATCTACAACTTGTGTCTGGAGTAGAATTCCAGAACACCCGGCACTTCACTGTTTGTTAAAACAGTATTTCTACACAGTAACTGTTTTTCTTAGCAAAACTGTAAAGGCTCACTTAGAGAACAATAAACTGGTCGGCGCCTCTAAGATTATGCTTTTCATTTCAGACAGGGTCTCACTGTGCAGCTCAGGCTGTCCCTGAACTCCCTATGTAGTCTAAACTGGCTTCCAAGTTGCAGTGACTCTCCTGTCTCAGCCTCCCAAGTGCTGGGATTACAGGAGTGAGCCACCATGCCCAGCTAGTACCTCTAAGATTACGATGCCAGGAAGTAACTTAAAGAATACACCAATGTTTAAAAAATTATCTTTAAAGGGAAAACCAGAAAAATATTGAATCATCTATGCTTTTATTACTAAATTTCTTTAACTCAGATGAACTGATGAATTCTGAGCAAGATTATTGTACTTACGATAAATTACAGACAGCACAAACACAGCAAAGCTATTTTGCTTAACCAATGTACACCTGAAAATAAGTTAAACCAAAAATAACCACTAAAAGTAATAAAATGTAATTATTAATTTTTTAAATTAGACTTTCTGGTATAATACTGTAGGCGTCCTAAAAGTCAAGAAATTTTACCACAAGCCTGAGCTGCAAGTCTAATTTTCTTTTAAAAATAACCTCTTTTCTCTATTTACGTAAATTTACTTGTTTAAAAAAAATATATTAGAAAGGAAGCAGAATGGGCATTGTACAACACTAACCAGGGCTCTGGGACACTATCACAGGTAAATAAGTCCTGGTGTATTCGGGCGGAGTACTACTCAGTACTACTGAGTACTACTCAGCGGATGCTCCCCAGTGAGGCGCCCCGAGGGCGGTACGCGCGCCGAACTGCTGGCACCCTGAAAGGCTGGGGCCCCAGGAGCTAGGGGGGCCTGAGGCCTGAGGGCGCCTGACCTGCTGTGAAAGGGCCTGGGCGGGGCGGGGCAGGTATCCAGTGCTGAGGGCAAAGCCATGTGAAAACACCGTACAACTGGTTTTATTTAAACACACTGCTCCGAGCTGCACCTTACTACCTATAAAATACCATTCCCCTTCAGAAAGTTTCACCTTTCAGTTTCTTGGGGTTTGTGGACTTCGAATTCACAACGCAACAGGTACTCCAACCTGATGTCCAGACCTGCAAACCTAAGCTTCCCACTGTGAAGCCTGTCTGCAGTCTGGCACCGGGCGGCCACGCCCACCTCCCCACAGCAACGCTCTGGGACCGCCAGGCTCCGGGAACGCGTCCGGAGACAGTGACGCTGAAAACCCCTGTTCGGACCACCGCGACCACCACGACCAGGGCGCGGACAGAAACAAGCCAGAGACAGCGGCAGAGGTGCGTGGAGGATGTGGCCTGGCGAGCACCATGTGCAGATTTCCGTGCGTCTGTTCCTCAAATGTCCTGGCTCAAAGCGAGGGCCAAAGGCGGGCGCACCGCTCCCCACTCCGAAGCGCGCAGCCTCCGATAGGAGGCGCGGTCAGGCAGCCGGCTAGGAGGAGCCGCTGCCCAGCCTCGTCCCTGCAGGTTCCAGGCTCTGCGCCACAGGGTCCATGCGGCGGGAGCGAGAGTGCGAGGGTGCGTGTGCGTGTGCGTGCGACACCCCCGCTCCAGCCTCCCGCCCCCCTCCAGGTCCCGGGGCGAGCTCTCTCAAGCAGCGACTGCATCTCCGCTCCTTCCTTCTCCTGACCCAGGGCCGACCCTTCCCTGCAGCCGAAGGGCAAAGCTTGTCCTGCCTCGGAGGCGGCTGAGTGAGCAGCCCACTGTGCGAGCGAGGCCACCGATCGCTCCGCCAGGTTCTAAGGAAACCTCCTCTCCTCCTCTGGAAATGATGGGCAGATTCTTCCAGTGCCTCCCAGACTGTTTAACGAAACTGGGTGCTCTGGGGCTGTCAAGCGGGCCAAATGAGACAGTTAAGGGAAGGGAGAGCACTCCCATTTCTATCTATTTATCTCATATTGTGGCTCTATATAAAATTTCATCTTGAAAGACAAAACCAAGTTTGGAAATCATTGAGTTAAACGACCTCCCTTGGTCCTTCCACGTCTAAAATTATAGTAGAACTTCCAAATAAAGCAGAAAAAAACACTCTTTTTTGCTTATAGATCTCTTCTAAGTAACACATGATCCATTTTACGAATCACCTGGAAGAACACAAGACCACGAGGTTCCACTGTCGAACCAGATGTCCAGGATGTCCTGGCCAGGCAGGTACTCCAAGCCATCGGGACCACCGAGCTAGGAGACAGAGAGAAGTGCTTCACTCAGAGTCCAGGCACACAGGACAGCACGCCCAAGTCTGAAGACCCACTCTTGCCATTTCCAGTTCAGGCCAGTGGCCTGGGAGCACGGGCCAGGCCCAGGCCCTGTCACACACCACCAGTGCATGGTGGCTGGGCATCCTCGATGCCAGCGCCCAGGCTGGATCCTTGATGTCGCTCCACACACATCCCAGAGTCCTGACTGCACTCTCGGTCACAGCCAGTTAGGTCCACCCAGGCCCAGGGAGACAACAAACAATGCTAACACTGCTGCTAAACAACCGCTTCTACTGCTAAGCCAAAAGTCCCCTCTCAGACTGCATGAGCTTCCAATTGACAGTAAATAAATTCACTAACTACATGGCAGTAGACCCTCCCACTGGCCTCATACCTGGGACAGGACCTCCTTTGGGAGCAGCTGTTCCGGGGGCAGCGTCCACCAGACGTCGCTGCCATGCTGCTCCACCAGCTTGGCAATGTGCTCCACGGTCTGGCTGCAGTGCAGACAGGTAAGTCAGTTAGATATCTTGTGGGCAGCTAGACAGCGGCGGCCCACGAGGAGCCAGGATGGGGGACAGTCAAGGCAGTCACTGAAGGCCAGGATTGTAAGAGAAACTACCTCATGGGCCATGCTTCCCCGAAGGAGGAACAGCAGTGACTGATACGCTAAATAGGTAGGTGTCAATCCCCTGGGTGGAGGACCGAGACCTTACCCCCCGCTTCCAGGAAAGATCCCTGACCCAAAACCCTTGTATGCCTGCTGCATGACTTGCTTCCCCGTTGGAGCCCTGTTTAATCAACATTACCTAAGTGACTGTACTTGTTGTAATCTTACCAGTGGATCATAGTTTTGTCCACCTTGTGACTTCTCACTGATCAGTGTTACCTAAGCAACCACACCTGCAATCTTACTGGTTGACCGTAGTTTTGTCCCGCCTTGAACCCACCTCACCTAGTGGCTTTGTCCCATAAAACACCTTTGAGAAGCAGGGTGGGCGGGCAACCCACCTTCCAGGGCCCCTTCTGGCGCTCTTAGGCAGAAGCTGTCTTTCTCTCAATAAATTCTTCCTACTCTTAACCTCCGCTGTTCCTAGAATTCATTCTTCGATTTTAGAGAACAGGAACTCCCATTTCGATACCTAGCAGGCTTGGGCATTGCATCCATTCCCCCTCTATCAGCTGGTTAGAGGGAGACGTGTGACTCCACCACAGCTGCGATAAACAGCGAGCAGGTTTACATGAAAAGGCGCTCCCACCATTTCCTACCCTTGTCCGTGCAGTGGCATCTGCACTTCCGTGACTGCTGCCATCATCTTAAACTGGACGGAAGTAACATCGCCTGATCAAGCACACACCTCTAAAGGCAAGGCAAGGGGGCTGGGGTGAGGTCTCGCACTCGATAGGCCCTGAGTTCCACCCCAGAATGAAAACTAAAAAATACAAAGAGACAAAACAAAAGCCTTCTCCTGATCTCCTACATCGATCGCTCTATTTTCTACCCAGGTACAGTCCCTAACCTTAAAACCTCCTAATGACCTCCCCTCTCCAATTTCTGCCTGATTCTCAGTCCTACCCTGAAGCCTGTCACTGTCCTTGCTGACCCCTCCCCTCAGGGCTGGATGACACAAGGTCCCCACTCTCCTCTCTGTAATTACATGGCCCACCCTGAGAGACGCATTCCTAAAACAGCTTTTGTCACAGGACTCTGCTCACAACAAGGGGGCCGGGTGTGGTGGCACAGCACTCAGGAGGCTGAGGCAGGAAAGCCACAAATTCAAGGCCAGCCAAGACCGTGTCTCAAAAAAATTTTCAAAAAAAGCTCCCCAGAGCTCCCTCAGTCCTTCAGACCGAGTGCAAACCCACAGGCCCAGGAGGTCGGCTGGCCATCGTGGAGTGTGGGCTTGGACGCCCAGAATCACTGTTCACGTGACCTCGTACGGGTGCCACAGCTGCCCTGGGCCCGGCGGCCCTCAGTGAGGAGCTCAAACCCCAGGCTTCGGCTCCAGGCCTCCAGTGTGGGGCCCAGGTCCAGCCCTGGATGAAGCGCACACAGACCCCCGCCCTGGAGGGCCATGCTTCTGAGCGCTGCACCCAGCCTGAGCAGAGGACACGCGCAGCAGTGTCTGTGGAGGTGGGCCCACTTTGGGAGGGCACGAAGTCGCACTCTCTCATACCCCCAGCCCGGCGACTTGGGACTGGACTCCGGAGGAGCAGACATTGGCGTCTGAGACTGCGCAACGCGCAGAACAGCACGGGCGTCAGGGCCTCGGAAGGCTGCTTTCCCTGCTCTGGTGAATTTCTGGCTCTGCCACTCAGAGCCACGGCACCTGGCAAGACCCATGGCCGCTCCGTGCCTCGGCGCCTCATGTGCGAAATGCAGCTAACGGCAGGATCATTAAGATCCTGTGAGTGTAACTAAGCTAACACATACAAAGCTTCTACAACAGGGCCGGGCACATTTTAACACACAGCTAGGCAAGCTGTTATGTGAACTGATTCTCTGCCATCAGGCAAACATAAAACAGGCTGACCGATGACCAAAACACACACCTATTTTTAAACTTAAAGATAAACTCAAGTCAACTTTTGAATGCAGTGGACCTCAAGTGACGACCAGCCTGACAGGAATGACTCGGGTTCATTAGGTTAATGGAAGATTCATCTGCCTCTTGTCATCTGTAGCATGTGCCCAAGTAAACATGCAGAATTCAGCTGTACTGACTTACAACTAACTTGAGCTGCATCCAGCCCTGGGAACTGATCGAGTTTGTAGGTCAGAGGTCCACTGTACCCTCTGTACCATACTCCTCAGCGCCAGCGCCTCAGATCCCACTGCAGGTCCCCAGGAGACAGCAGCAGTCCCTGGGCAGGGTCGGGCCTCACTCACCGCAACTGTGCCTGCCTGGCTCAGAGCGGCACAGACAGGGAAGCGCCCACACAGCTGCAGGGGATGCAGGCTGGCTCTGGCGAGTCAACTGTCTTACAAAGACAGGGTGTACTCCATGTGTACTGTGTTTTCCATGAAGCACAGGATGGGAGACCGGAAGGACAGCAAGCACGTACTCTGAAGAACTTACAGACAAGAATGTCACTGGGCCCTGTCCACAGTTCTGAGACAGAGGCTGGCTTCAGACGGACTTTAACATGAAGATAAACTTCCATCTCGCGAGACCATAAAAGCTTCATGCAGTAACTACTCAGTTGTATGACAGTAATATTTGGTTACGTATTTACACAGCTGGCACAGAACATTTTATTAGTTAAGAAAATACAAATATCTTATGAGTAAAAAGTCTGAATAAATCTAGTGCCTGGAGAACGAAAAGAGAAAGGCACTAGGAAAGCACATTTATACACACACATGAAGTATAACAGATATGCTGCTCATACCAGTTAGGAAATTTTCATCCAGAAAGAATGACTCAGGCCGGGGATTTAGCTCAGTGGTTCCGCCACCTGCCTCACAAGTGAAAGGTCCTGAGTTCGATCCCAGGTACCAAAAACAAAACAAAACAAAACTCTAAAATGGTGTCATGTTACCCTTTGTTACTTTAGTGTTATCATTAACGGGCAATTTAAGCTGCATACAGTGATGTCAGAAGAAGACAGACAAAAACAATCTGGAAGTAAAGTGGATCACATTTCATATTAGTTCACAAGCAAGGTGGAGCCATCAGAACATGGCCACGAACCAGAAGCTGCAGCACACGCACGCCACACCCTGCAGAGCACTTGAGCTCTCCTGCTGGGTTTACAGAAACTGCCCTGGGGGTCTCTCAATCACGGGCTACACAGCAAACAGTCGGAGCCCGGCCCGGTGGTGCCCCCACAGGTGGCTCAGGGCCGTCTCCACTGCTGTCCCTGCCCCTCCACCTCCCCATGGGTCACCGGGTCACAGAACTCGCACACGGTTCCCCAGAGTTTGTGAAGCAGTGGTAAAGGTCTCTTCCCACCCACAGGTGACAAATACTGCAGGCAGGGCAGGGGTGAAGCTGGGGACAAGGGTGTCACAGGAGATTAGCGTGCGGACACAGAAAGCACCGGGTCCAGAGGCTGGAGTCCTGGGACTCCCTGCAGGAACACAGGAATAAAGCACCTCACTTCTCTAAGCTTCAGCTTCTACAGTACTGGGAAAGCTGTGCCTAAGGAGGCTGTGAACAAAAGGTCCTAAGAACCAAATAAAAGTGAGCCAGGCAGGGCGGTGCATGCCTGTAACCCAGCACTCAGGAGACTGAGGCAGGAGCATCGCCAGTTTCAGGCCAGCCTGGACTTGAGACTCCAAGTGAGACCCTCTCTTAAAACAAAACAAAACAGGGGCCGGGGATTTAGCTCAGTGGCACCGCACCTGCCTCACAAATTCGATCTCCGGTACCCAGAAAAAACCAAAAGACAGAAACAAAAACACATATACAAAAACAAACAAAAGAGAGTAACCTAACCTTTGTAGATGAATACTTCCACAACCACTTTAGAATCCAAATTCGACTTTAATGAAGCTAGGTTTTTTCATATCCTTAAACATCAGGTAACTCCATGAAGTTTTAAAATTATATTTTAAACATTACTTAATCATACTAAAGTCTATAATGAGTGTATAAAAGTACCAAACAAAGGAAGATTCCAATTTTGCTCTTGGCATGTTATTAAACCAACTACAAAGTCCTATCAAATTCAGTCAAACATCTCTAACGAAAATTTGTTTTAATCATATTTTCTCATAAAGATGAATTCACATATATGTTTTACTACAGAAACAAATGTTATCTTCCTTCTTGACTTTTCTTTTGAGTGCTACAGACAGAACCTAGAGCCTCATGAATGTTACACAAGTAATCTACCACTGAGCTGTAATTCCACCCTTTTAAAATGTTTTATTTTATTCTGTTCTGTTCTACTTTATTTTATTTTTATTTTTTGGTACCAGGGATGGAACTCGGGTCCCTGCACTTGCGCAGCAGGCAGCGAAACGTGTTCTATTTTGAGGCAAGATCTCACTGCTTTGCAATCTCCCTGCCTCTTGCTCTCAGGTAGCTGGTATTACAGACAGGCACCACCATGCCTGGTTTATACACATTTAATTTGCAAACTCAAAAAAACTTTTTTTAACTCAGAAAGGTCTTATTTTAGTAAGAAGGAAGGTTTGCTTGGTTTTGTCTTCTTTTAGATTAATGACACGTTTTGTTTTGGAAGTAACATAACCAGACACTATTCACACCAATAAAAACTGATTCTGGGGCTGGGAATTTCGCTTAGTGGTTTTGCTGCCTGCTGTGCAAGTGCAAGGACGCAACCCAGTTTGATCCCTGGTACCAAAAAAACAAAAAAAACAAAAAAAACCAATTCTGCAATATTTTTTTTTTTGTAGTACGAGGGCTCAAACTCAGGACCTTGGGCTTTCGAGGCAGGTACAGTGCCACTGAGCATTATCCCCGGCCCCTTGCAATAAATTTTAAAAATCCAATTTCAAGACAGTTAAAGTAAGTGGAGCTGCACC